CACACTGCACACCCATATTAAAAAATAAATAACCTATAAGGTGTCTCTCATTTTTCAGCTGTTAATTGGTTCACTAAATCAGTTGTCGGGATTCTGAGTCTGCAGGTGCAGCATGTTGTACTGCACTGTACTCTAAACATATCTACGTTTTGTGTTCTGTCATTACTCTTCCTTCCTGTCAGGTTGTGACCTTTCTCTTCTCTCATCTTTCCTTATGTTTTGTGCCAGAACTACATAGAGTGGCTATCTAATTGTAAATTGTTGCATCCACCCACAAGATGCTGCTGAAACAATCCACAGGTCAAGCTCGAGCTCTGTATGCTACATAATCAACATTCTGACCGTACAGTGGAAAGTGGTTGTACAAGAGAATTTTAAACTCTCTAATTTATTTATTTTCTAATTTATCTCTAATAAATTTTAAACTCTCTAAGATTCTACGACACCTAAAATATTTGACTAATTTGTGAAAGCGCCACAGCAGACATGTCCCTGAGCTTGCACCATTGTTCTTGTTTTGCCATAATGTTTTGCACCCTTGGGTGTTTACGATTTTTCCCTCTGCTGCCAGCCATCGTGCCTCTACAGTTAAATGTTGTTTTGCCACTCTACCACTGTGCCAAAGCCACATCAAGTGTAAACCAGACTGTACAACCTGGTTGGGCATTTTATTTTAAGAGTAAGATAGCTTCTACCCCGAGGGGGAAAACAAGTACAACCTAAGAACCGCTATTATTAAGCAGTATTATCTTTATATGCTCAGGAATATACTTGCCTGTTGCTGATATTGAAAGAAAGTAACATGAAATAGGTAATACTTTGATTATCCAGAATCTAGATGCAAACAAATCAGAGCTACTTATAATGACATAGTAAACTGTAAATTACAGAATTAAAAATTTGGTGAAGCCTTTTAATTGACAGGTGATAAAAAACTGTCTGTGAGTGTAACAAAGTAATTTATTTTTAACACCATCTACAGCCTCCTCTGGAGTTAGCAGTGACAAGAATCTTAAAGCTTCCATATTGGAAGAAAAAGAGGAAAAGCAAAACATTGCACAAAATGAAGGGATTTTAATGTTTCAATACAGTGTCCAAAACATTATGTCTATAATGTCATCACTTCTTCCTCATACATTAGATTTACAGTAAGATTCGATATGATTTATTTTGTGCAAAAATATACATATTGATGAGGGAAATGTTAACCTTAAAGCTGCAGTGAATGATTGTAGGCCACTAGGGGACTGGAAAACAACAAAAACAAGTTGACTGAAAGACAACTATTGCATGTCACAGGCTTTTAAAGTTTTTATAGCTAACAAGCTGAGAATATAATTGCCTCCAGCTGACATAGAGCAACATGTCAGCAACATGACTCCAAAGGAGTCGTGTTTCTGACCAACAGATGAGTGTAAGTCCAAGAAACAATCTTGGTCTCCACCAACTACAAAAGTATCTGCCTTTCACTGCAAAATATTCAACTTTCTTCACTAGCTAGACTCTAATGTTGCATATCTGGTGTTAGGTGCTGTTAAGGTAATATGCAGTAGCTTTAATGGAGCTTGTTTTCCTCGAAATGCTAAAATTGCAGCTGAGCGCTGAACTGACTTAGCCAAAACAAAACCAATAAAAATAACTTATGAAAAAAGCTTGAAAAGTTTAGAGCTGCAGAGATAATCATTTTTGGTGACTTTGGCAATTTGGCAAACGGTTGATGACCCTAAATAAAAGGCATGAAAGTAAAATATAATTTAAATGCAATATAAATCCCCCACTTCTGTAGCTTGTCTGTCAGTCATATACTCACATACTCTCCCGTATTGACTTGGAAGCATTAACAATTATTTTCTCCCACTTGATCTAGTTCTAAACTGCTTACATCATGCATACAAATATAAATGTTTAAAAGTTTGTCAATATGGACCTACTACACATCATAAAATCAGTGTGATTCTCCACAGTTCAATCATTCAGTTAATTTTATGGAAACAATTCAGACTTACTGGTATGGTAAACAGAAAAGCCACATTTTTATGCAAATAAACTAGTTAATGATAGACTACTTCCCATCTTTGCTGAGTAAGAGTTTTGTGCAAAAGAAATGTAAAGGCTCTCCCTTATAGATGCTGGTCCCAAATATAGGCATTGTGAGTTCAGAAAGCCTGTGCTTTCAGAAAGCCTGTGCTTTCATTTGCTTCAGGATTTAACAGCGATATCTTAAAATGACAAAGATTCTAATCAAATGGAATTGTAGACAACACTTCTGTCATGTGGTGGTTGGGACATGGTATTATATCTATATGTAATACATATGGGGTGGTGATGGAACAGTGGAAAACACACACTTTTTGTCTTTGAGGAAAACATCACCACAAGGTCAGAGGAAGTGGTACCTATGAGAGGTTACGGTAGTGTTAGTGGAATGCATGACACATTTTAGCACGCACAGCAGATCACTCCACCACTTTGTTATAGTGTACAAACACTGACATCCTGCTCAAACATTTTGTTTACAGGCAATAAATAACAGAATTGATTCATCAGCCAGTCTCTGTTTGATTCAGTGAACACACTATCAACTCCCTGACTAGTGTCCTTGCAAACATTTAGATATTTATCTGCTGCAGATGTTTTTGGTGAACACAATGAGCTTGTACAAGTAAAACTAGCATCAAAAATGATGTCAGACATACATTGATGATGATGCAGTGTTCATGTCTTAAAATTGCATTTGAGCACTTCTTTAAAATTAAAAACTTTTTGCCCTTTTAAAGCAATATATTTCTTCAGTTAATGTTGAAATGTTTAAATTCATTGAGATTTTGTGCAGCAACTTTGCAAACTTGAACTGACTCAGGGAAATGTTTACAAGATCTGAAACCTGGTTAAGAGCTGCTATTACCACAAGCCAGAAGTACGTTTGGATGACGCAGTGGTGTGCTCTCATGTCTAACCTTTGTGAGTGTGAAAAACAAAGTTCAGTAATAGTGTACTGTAATAGGAATTTCATGAGAGCCATCTTTAAAACTCTGCCATGCAACTCTGCAGAAAACTTGAATACAATTCACAGTAAGACCATTGTTTGCCTAAGCTGTTTATTTAAACACACTTTTCCCACTGCAGTACATACAGTGGGTGACTTATTTTGTACTCATTTGCAACCTTTTTGAAGCTTCGGATGTACACTTGGAATCACACCTGTCATTATTATCACTATTGTGACTTCTTTTGTCTCAGTACTTTAATAAGCATGTGAGAAACATATAGTGAAGTGCAGCTTTGGTCTCTACAGTTACGTAGGGTAACTTGAATTACTTGTCTTAGGTATAGCACTTTGAATTGCAATGTTGTTGAAAACTGCTACACAAAATAAACTTGCCTTGCCTAGAATAAGTACAATTTTGGAAATATTGCACTCCACATTTATTAAAAATTAACATATAACATATATTACCAATTTATAAAATCTGATTCAACGTTCCAGACTAAACTACCTAGGACTATGTAAAGTAATATTAATTTACTTCATCTCAATTTTAATATTTTAACAAGCAATATTAATTTTAATTATTGTTGTATTCTGATATATTTTTGGCTTGCCTGCTAACTACATTTTATTCTGTTTCGGGGGTCCATAAACCTCAACCTATACACATCAAAACCCTGATAATATGTTAATGTAGCAGTCACAAACATCCAGTAGAAGTAAAAGCAAATACTCGAGTAAAATACCTCAAAACTGTACTTGAGAAAGTGCACTTTTTGTTCCACCATAAGGAACATCTCAGATTTATATAATATGTGTCAGGCTATATCCACAGTTTATATAAAAATCAACTGTGCAAAATGATCTGATCAAAATTGGCATAATGAACAGAGATGACAAATCCCTATAACAAATACTCTGGAACTGTTGTCAAACTCTCAATGAATCACTACCATCTTTTGTTGATTTGACACATTTTAAAGGGAGGTCCAACTCATCTGCAGTCCTGTATCCTAAGTATGTTGTCCAAGCATAATTTGTTCACTCGCAAGCTTAATCCTTAAAGTGAGACACACACTTTATTAAGTAGGTTATGTGGTGCAAGCTGTGGTCTCTCTGTTTGGGTCCCCCTTTGTGTTTCACAGGGGTATAAGAAGTCTCCATACTCTAAAATCCCTACATTCAAAATCACATGAGTAGGATACTTTCAGTTACAGTAAAAAAGTAAAAGTACTGTAGAATTGCTTGTTTCATATACATATCTAATTAGATTAATATTACTGATGCATATGTGTGTAAACCGCATGTTATGGCTGTAATAGGTTGAGGTGGAGCTATGTTCTGCTAACTTGTTTGTGATTCAAATAAACCTGTAGAATTGACTGTACAGTATCTATTATCTATTTCATAATTCATACTAGGCTGGGGCATTATTCAGAAAGAGGGGCTAAGACTCCATTATTGGCTAAACAATAGACTAAACCGACTTGATAATAAAGGTTTTTGCATAAAAAAATACATACATAATTTAAAAGGAAATTATTTGTATGAAATATCTTAATCAGTAAAGTAATTAATTGTGGTTGTTAAATCAATGTGGAGGGAAAATATACTCTATTTCACTCTGAAATGTAGTGGAGTAGAAGTATAAAGTAAACGGAAATACCCAAGTACAATGCAAATAGCCTACTTCTACTTGCTTTTGATCGACGTTTAATCGGATTTTATCTCATACACTTTACATGATGCACGATTATTTCAACCTGTTTATATATGCAGACTTCTTAATAAAAGCATTGACGTTGTTTAAATCAAGTGACAGATGTGACTTTGCTGATGTTAATTGACAGATGACGAGGATGACATAGGTTCACGCTGCCAGAGCTGCACGTAGGCCAAATGTCTGGGGGAATTCAGTGGCAAGGAAGAACTGAAACTGGGCAGGACACCTGCCGCTGCATGTGGTGCTTTGCTACACTGTCTCTCAAACAGCTCACTGGTTAAATGAAATGCAGAGGAGGAGCTGCCTTCAGTGGCCCCAGAAGAAACTTCCCTGTCAGTTGAGAGTGTGAGAACAACTTGGAGTGCAGCACGCAGTCAGTCTCGGAGCATCGCTTGAAAACCCAAACCACTAGAGCACCCTAAGCATCTTTATCCTGTGGATTGTTGGTTCATCACAAAACTGGCGGATTGTGGAGTTTCCATTTTGTGCACAAAAGATGGATTTGCTGCTTGTTGGAGAACCTGGAGATTGCTCATTAATGGAAAGTGTCACTATTTCGGAAGTGAGAGGAGAACCTTTTCTTAGTGTGAAACAGTGAAAGACGACTCTGCAGGTATGAACTCCACGGGAGACACAGAGAAGAGATTTCCACCGCCCACCATTCCGGTGATTATGTTTATTTTCGGGGTGGTGGGAAACGTCATTGCCATAGTGGTTCTGAGAATATCACGGAAGGAACAAAAGGAGACTACTTTTTACACACTTGTATGTGGCCTGGCGGTGACAGACCTCCTGGGCACCCTGCTGGCAAGCCCTGTCACCATCGCAACCTACATGAAGCGCTCCTGGCCGGGAGGTGATCCGCTGTGCCAGTACTCCGGCTTCATCCTCCTCTTTTTCTTCTTGGTCCAGCTCAGTATTGTGTTTGCAATGTCAGTGGAGAGATACTTGGCAATAAACCATGCGTATTTTTACAACGAGTACGTCAACCAAAAACTCGCCGCGCTGACTCTTTTGGGCATTTACATTTCCAACATCGTGTTTTGCGCGCTGCCCGGCATGGGGTTCGGCGAGGTGAAGCTCCAGGACTCGGGGACCTGGTGTTTCATCGACTGGCAGACCAATTACACAACAGTCGCGACTTTTAATTTGATGTACGCGGGCGTGAATTCAGCCATTGTGTTGGCCACTGTCATATGCAACGTGATGGTGTGCGGGGCTCTGATCCTGATGCACAAGCGGTATATCCGCCGCACATCTTTGGGCACAGACCAGCGGCGCATCGCGGAGCTCAGGCGCAGACGGAGTTTCGGACGATTAGCTGGCGCAGAGATCCAGATGGTGATCCTGCTTATAGCAACCTCCGCTGTGGTTCTCATCTGCTCCATACCTTTAGTGGTGAGTATTGGGAAAATTTAACCTGTCACCGGGTTTGTGCATAAAATATTGTTTAGGCATTAAGAATGGCACATATTAAGTGTGAGAAAGAAGAGCTTACAACTAAATTCTTGAAAAAATAACAAAAACAAACGGGGGAGGTGGGATAATTATAATAATATGTTAAGTGAACTTCATGTTCCAGTTCTAGATCTTTGTGGTCAGATGACGCATTTCCCTGAGGCACCAATGACAACGCTCAGGCTGCAGTCCTTTCAGCTTTGTTAACAAAAGCAGCATTTCCATAGTTTTAGTATTAGCATAGTAGGGAAATATGCGGCTGAGAACTGATTACCGGCAACAGTCACTGAGGGGGTTGGCAGCTCTCTTCCCCAGACGGAGCAAGAGTCGCTTAGAGAGTTCCCCAATGAGTTTGCTCACGCAGGATGGAATGGAAAGCAGTTATCTCTGTATCTCTGACTTCAGTGATAGTGTACCCATGTGTGCACTTACACTGTTTTTGCAATCATTCAGGTCTCCTTCTGAATAAAAATACATTCAAAAGTTAAGCTGAAGTTACAAATAAAGTGAGCATCTTCTAAAGTTGTCTTTTTAGTACAAAACTCCTTCATTGTTCAGCTCAGCCCGGAAACAGTGTCCCCTGAAGTTTTCACTAAAGAGACTGTAAGTGTGTAAGATCCCCTCTTATATTGTCTAATTGCGCATATCAAGGACTGCACTTTTGATCCCTCATCTATTCCACTGGAATAGTTTTAGAAAGGGATGTTTTAATGGCCAGTAGGAACAGGAGGAATAATTATGGCTAGCCAAATCTGCTTTAAAGTGGGTGTTATTTTAAGACACACTTGGAAAAACTGTTAAATTATCGTTTAAGGACCTCACTTCTATACTTGAAAAAAAATAGCAAGCCTTTTGACTCTGGCTTTATGATGAGGCTGATTATTAGACTCTGGGGAAGCCCAGTGGCCAAATGCTGTCTTATGATGAATGATGATGAGAATTGTAACTCTGTTTTTATTGGCCTCTTGCCATCCCTGCTGTGGTTACACAGAAGTTACACTCAGTATCTATTTAGATTTGACCATTCTGTGCTAGCCATGTAGGAATATGTAAAATAAACAATGATTGTACTCTTGTAAATTAAGTGTAGACAAGTTTGGGCTTGAAAAAATATGAGCTCAAATTGTTTCTGCATTTGAAATGTGTTTCCACGTTCCTTTATGTGACAGCCAAACAACTTGTGGATGCTTGTTAAGTTCCTAAATGTGTCTACCATTGCTCTTTTCTCTTCTATGCCATCAGTGGAGGATCTTTGTGAATCAGCTGTACAGAAACCAGAAAGACCCTTTAGACCTGCTGGCAATCCGCATGGCCTCTGTCAACCCCATCTTAGACCCTTGGATCTACATCCTGCTCAGAAAGACAGTGGTCCTCAAGCTGATGGAGAAAATCAAGTGTCTGTTCTGCAAAATGGGCGGAAGGGGACGAAGGAACGGCGGGCAGTTCCACTGTGCCGACGGCCACTTCTCTTCCTCCATCATCTCCAGGGACTCACCCTCACTGGTTTCACGTGAGCTTCGGGAAATGATGAACACCTCCCAGACCTTCCTGTACCCATCTGAGGGACACACCGGGAGGCTGGGGTCATTTCAAGCGGGGACGCAGGGCGGCTCCAGGCCATCGACTGTACAGACGTTACAGGACCCCCAGGAGGTCGAGGGGCCTCAGACGGGGCTTTCACAGAGTGATTTAGAGGACACAGCGCCGGGCAGGCTAATGAAAGAGCTTCCATTGTGCCCAAAGGACCCTGCCCTACATGTAACCTTCACAGATGAGGCTGAAAACATACAGGAGAAATGTATATGACAGTCAGCGTGATTTCGAAAAGCTGTCATCACTGTAATAAAAACGCCTCAGGACTGAAGATAGGAACTAATGAGAGCAAAAACGTGATAATGAGTAATGGAAAAGCGTGAAGACTGAACTATCATCATCAATCTATAGATATTTAGTGGAGAGCAAATAAAAAGACATTTGACAGAAATTACGGAACTACATAGCCATTATCAATATATTACTCCTCAGTCATAACTTAACACAAACACCATATCACAAAATACACTTCAGTACAATCACAACAGTTATATCATCAAAACACAGAGAACAACATGACGTAGAGGAGCTCCTGTGTTGCACTTTTTGAACTCTGAAACCACTTCTAGGCTGTTAGTAATGCTTGTTTTGTAGCATTGCACAATGACTGTAAAGAATTCATGTTAAAATGTGAAAAGTTATGTGTTATGTTAATAGTTATGTTAATTTATTAAGTATGAAACTGTACGTTATCATCTTCTCTGTGAGAAGGTCCAGATAGTTTGGAGCCATTTTAAATCGGTACAAGATGAATATGTTCTCTCTCGTTTTTCTTTTCTTTTTTTTTTGTATGTAGGAACATTTGCAGACAATTTGGTCAAACTGTTTGACAGAACATCAAAGCTACAATTCCCTACATTTCATAACAAACGGCAGCTATACTATTGGCTTTTCCACAATACAGACACTGGAGGATTTTAGGAGGCCTCCTAAAGTAATGTGTTAATAAAAAAACATTAATTTGCTTTTTAAGGATTAATCCAATTACATATTATTTGCATCTAAATGGGGAATTAAGAAGGGGAAGGAGAACTGAAGACATTATTCAGTTCGTGTCTGATGAGTTTAAAGGTTTTTGCCTTTTCTAACAATGGATTTCCTGGTGTAACACAGCATTAATGCTATTGTTGCTATAAAGGTTGATATAAAAACCATTATATATTTCAAGACTAATGTTGTACCAACTGTGAATATGGTAAATATTCATATAAATAAAGAACATGCATCACTCTTTTGCAAACTGTAACAGTTAAGGTTTAGTATGATAGTGATGTATTGCAAACTCTGTGTTAGTATATGATATTAGGCTAAACATGCATGGTGAATATGTATAGTGTGCAGTAAAGCAGGAAGGGAAATTACCAGGAACATATTTAGAGCTGAAACTATCAGCCGATTAAGCAATTATCATTTAAGTCATTTTTGAAGCAGAAATGACCAAATTGCACCAGTTCCAGTATCTTAAGTTTGAGGATTTGCTGCTTTTATTATTGTAAATAAAATTTTTAGGGGGACAAAAAAACTACTTTTAAGACACCACCTTGAGCTGGACATATTTCACTATTTTTGAAAGAAGAAAATAATCTGAATATTAATTGAAAATAATCCATAGTTGCTATTGTACAGATGCTACTGTATCTGTACAGACACAAGACATAGGTCAGCAAAATCTAAATAACCTGCATGAGGCCTCTATGAATCTTTACTGAAAATGAAATATTGATGATCCTCAACAGAGCAACTTTAATGATTCAATACGTATCTTTATTGATCAAAACAACTGAAGCTGCTGGCAGGTCATGTGCAAAGACATGCTGCAAAGCTTTTTATGAAAACCCTAATTAATAGTATTTACTGGATGATTCATTTCTATGTCAAAACAGATTCAGAGATAGCTCAGCCAGATCCCAACGGAAATTCAAAGCTGTCTTCAATTAAATGCTCTACAATAACATTTTCTTTTGCCAGCCTGTCACTGCTGCAGAGAAATTACAGGTCAGCTTTTATTCCTTTCATCTACAAGAGCGCTATAACACATTTTTAACCAACAGCCAGTTCAGGTGGCATGGCACCGCTCACCTGCAGACAGATTGTTTCTTCATCCCAGAAAATTTTCAGGTCCAATGTGGCCGGTGTCCAGAGCCTTCCGATAGCAGTAAAAACCTCCCTCTGAGAACAATATCCCATAAAGAGAGTGTGACCTCAGACTGAGAAATCTGTTAAAGCTGTTGAGTCTCTCGGGAGGCAGGGAATAGTGTTGACAAAGCAGTTGTGATAGCATTATAACAGGGCAAAAGTAAAAATGATTCTTTTTGGAAACTCGTCCCCTCCTTCCCCAACTCATCAGCTAAGGCCAGTAATACACTTTGGTATGTGTGACAGACTGTTTTAGACATTTATACCCCTGCCATGGGGAACCTGTGAAAACAATCAGCTATTAGAAGATGCCACTCAAAAAGCAGTGTGCTCATGTTGTGGCCTTTTAGCGAATGAATGGAGTTAAGAGCAATTGGAAATTCCAGGACATGATGGATCTAAAACTAATAACAGTATTTGTACTATTGTATTTGGGCTATGGCTAATTTTAGGGTTGAGGTGCATGAGGATATAAAATTAGGTCAGATATATTTAGGATTATATTTATGCTAAGGTCATGGTTAGCATTACATGAAGCAAATAATCCAGAAATGGAGATCTTTTGTCTTTATCATACCCTTCAAGGCATATCACCACTGTGTTTGTGCCTTCCACTGGTTGCTGGTGCTGTCTTAGCTTTGACAAGTCTATTCATTTAGTCTATTCATTCATCATTTCTTTTAGTCTCAGGCGCTCTCTGATCCCATCATAATTGTCATTCTTAATGTCTATTTGCTGTTTTGTTTTGACTAGACCAGCTTTGGAAAGTTGAAATAAGGCATGAGGCAAACCATGAATTCTTTCAAAAATGTCCATTTTATTTTATCATAAAATGATGCACAAGACATCTAGAATATTTCCATATGATGGAGCTGTGCAGCCATAAACTGCAGCCTTACCAGCAGCTCTGACATACTGTATTTAGCCACAATGGTGCTTTGAGCTAACTGGTAACATTAGCATGCTAACATGCTCACAATGATAATGCTAGCATGCTGATGTTAAGCAGGTGTAATGTTTGAATTATTGATAATTAGGACTAAAGACAAAGCTGAGGCTTCACAAACAGCACTCTCCTGGGTAAAAGTCCGGTGTTTGACCCATCCATCCAACCAGTCTTAGGGCCAATACATCTATTAGATGTTCAAGTATTCACAGCAGAAGTGACAACTTTGACCTGCTGGTGGCCCTACAGATAAAGGCAGGCTATCACAAATTCATTAAACCAAATTTAATGGCAATCCACCCAATATAGCTTTGAAGACATTTCACTAAAAGCAAAACAAACATAAAGCTCCTGGTGGTGCTGGAGAAAAAGTCAGGGGATCACCATAGTCAGTTTCATTTTTCTTTCCCGAGAGCCACGCTGCAGGCATATCTAAAAACATGGTGTCTTGGGTTTGAATACTTCGCTCAGTGTAAACATCAAATAACTACAATGAACAGTTGAAATAATCTGATTTTGTCAGACAGTGTGGAATAAGATGATATTAACAACTCTGATGCTAATATAATTAACTTGTATGTTAAGGCCTAACATTAGGTACTAAAAGGGTGCATGTTCTCGACATCACAAGCAGCTGTAAGGTAGATGGAGTGTAGGTTTGGTTTGGTTTGGAAAAACAGTCAAACAATTAACAACAATCAATTAAATGGGATTTTATTTATTTATTCTTCATTGCAATAAAACATTTTGTTGTCATAACACAGTGTTAACCAAGAAATTGACTAACCATCCACTGGAGCATCCAGATACATGTGTATTTAAGCTAAAATACTTGGCACACCTTAATTAAACACAGGTGACCTCCATTTATCTTATTATGCAACTTTTAAAAAAAACAGCTGCAGTAGAAATGATTTGGGTGTGTCGCAGACAAGGGTGAGACAACTTCTAATCATGTTCTGAATATGATCTTGGTCTTGACATTTACAGAACCGTTCAGAATGATCACATGGCAGAAACCCTAACCATTGTTTACATGACCTGCCAGTGGTGATGACTAACCACATACATACAGGATAAACAGGGTATGTTCAGATCCAGTTTTCAGAGTTATTCATACAGAACCTGTATTATCTCGAGACTTCCAGTGGCCCTTTCATAGGAACTCAATTATTTCTATATTTACAATGCCCTACAAAGGAGGAGCACCAACTGCTTGAGAAGTGAAGCTGAAAATAACTTAATTTTTTTGTATCTAACATCCACACATGTAGGGTTTCTTTCCACAGGTTTGAAACAAAACCACAGTCACGATTGTAGTAAGCTGAATCTTAATATTGTAACAGTTACTATCTCTACTGACATTTTACATTAAGAACATTGCCTATACTATAAGTTATACTTTAGATCATATGATGTTTGTTTTTTTCTTTGACTGTTGTCGCTGTTAACTGGTTTGGAAACAATGACTTGCTGGAATAACTGAATAAAGCTGTTACAAGGAAACAGAACACAGCTTGTCGTTTACTGCGTCGTCTTTTATATCCTTCATCGTGTTTGCTACTGCATTTGACTCTGTAGCATATTATATAGAAGTGCAATTTGTTTATTTGTAAAGGGTCCCCATCGCCATAGCAATCAGCTAATCTTCATTTGGGAATGTAGCCATGAATAAGTTGCCAGACTCATGTTCTCTAACTCAGTGGTTCTCAAAGAGAACCAGGGGTGCTTGAGGGGGTTCCATGGGGTCCCCAGCAAAAACGGGAATAATTTATTTTCACTATAATTCCATCCATGAGTAACACACGCCTATAATGCTTATGGGATTCATACACCTTCTGAAATAAATCATCTAAGTCAAAAATCTATCAGATGGGCATTTCTGGGACAAAATCTTTTCAAATGGGAGAACCACTACTCTAACTGATAAACTACCTATTGAGCCTAGTGCTCACTTGTCACCACCCGCAATTCATTCAGTGTTTCAACCATTTCATTTTACTCCTCTAACAAACTGGATTCTAACAAATCCGCAGGTCCTGACGAGCTTGATCCTTACTTTCACAAGTTAGCTGTACATTTGCCTTTCACATAACACATTGCAAACCTTCTTTCCAAGCTGCAACTTAAATTAAGTTTATTTTTTAGGAATAAATCCTGTTCCTGTATAGTAGTTCCTAATTGCTAAACGCATGTTGATTTTGCTATTTGTGCTCCAATATTGTCCAGCATATTCAAATTTATTTCCAAGATTCATTCAAGTAATCTCTTTTAAATAGCTTATTATTATTATTATTATAGATAATGGTCCCCAGAGGATGAATTGTAATGATTTTAATCCCCTGTCCTTTTATCTATTGTGTTTAAGTCAAAATCTGGGTTTGCCCAATGCTTTGGATCGAATACCTGCAAAACTAATGACATTCCCATCAGTACCTTTATTTGTGTTTAGTGCTAATCAGCAAATGTTGGCATACTAACACGCTAAACTAAGATGGTAAACAGTGTAGCTGCTAACAGTAATGTTAGTGCTGTCATTATGTGCATGCTGCTGCTAACATTTAGTACAGCCTCACAGAGCTGCTACAATGCCTGTAGACCCTTATTATTGTTACTAACAAACTAATTAATATTGGGTTCAACCTTGGAACAACTTGGGAAAAATCTAGCAAGTCATCTCCAGAAAACATCTAAAGATAAAAGATAACCACCAGACTCAGAAAACCAGCAAGACAGAGCACGACAGGAAACACAGAACTATCACACATTTTGATTCATGTTTATTACTCATTTACAATTTGCTGAGCATGCATGCCCTTTTTCAACAACCTGTTTCACAAACACAGACGCATCAAAACACCACAGACAATAACATCTGACTATCAGAGCTGATGTGCCTTAATTTATAAAGACCTTCATCAGGTCACCTAAGGAAGCAACTATTTTATTCCGTTTAATCTCTACCACCTCTCTTTCTAATTTTGATTTGTGTTCATAAACCTTAATTAAATTCTGAAAGATTAATTTCTTAAATGTAGGCTACTACTGAAGCAAACAGTTTTAACTCAAATGTTTGGGTTTCTTCAATAATGTGCTAGCAGCTTCATTTACAGGATACTTAGTGTGTTGGAGCTTCTGTTTTCCTTCTTAATTTGTACATCTTTTATGTAAACTGAGTCTAAATTGTATAACAATCCCAAATAAAAAGGCTTGACAATTCCAACCAAGCTAATTTGCTAAATGTGAGTAGAAGCTTCTCTTCCAGGGACTGCCAGATGCTTCTTGGCTGAAATATGACTCTCAAGCTGTTTTCTTGGCTGTCTGGAACTGAAGGTGATTTACAGTGATGAGCCAGAACAGATTTAAAATGTCTTTAATCTTTGGGTGTGCATGCAAAAACTTTACATGCACATATAATGTAATTAACATTAAAGGGACGGAAAATGTAAAACAATAAACCTCAATTGTATTTTATTCTGTTGCACATAATCCTTCACTAGACATTGTCAGAGCATGTTTGCTTCTAAAGAAAAGTTGTTATGCTATAGGTTAACACACTCATTGCGGTTTCAGAAATAATCCCATTCCATCCTAAAAAATGGAACCCAGACATTCAATTCACGCTGAGACCAGTTCAAAGTCCTCTTGCTTTGACAAACTGTTCCTTTGATGGTGTCGCTGTGTCCTCTGATCCCCCTTCACCAGTGACTACATTTTTTATATTTCCCTCAGCGTCTATGACCACGGCGGTCCTCTTCAGCTCCTCATAGCGCGTCTGTCGCTCAGCAACGGCCTCGCAGGCTGCCAGCACCTCATCCGACTCAAAATCATAGTCCTGCTCGAGCTCAGGGGCATTAAGGATCTGTTTTTTGGTCTCCTCCTCTTGTCGAATTTTCTCCATGGTAGCTAAGTGCTGCTTCTGTAACCTGCACGCCCACGCCAGGTCTTCCTGCCACAGGGTGCGGTCTGACGGACACAGGTGGATCGCAACCTGAAAGGACTTCACAGCCTGCAGGGACAGTACTGCGTGAGATCAGGATTCATACACAAGCTTTTAGGGGTGGTCAAGATAGGAGTAATTGCTCACTCTGCCAGTGAAGACAAGTTCATAGTCTCCAACAAATCAAATGTTTAGCCGAATTCTTTCAGGCATGTTTATGGGCTCACTGTAACTATCAACAGATGAATGGTGTGACGCTGGCATCTGGGCAGCTGAATGAGCAGGTGAGCACATCGTCAAGGCCAACATCGCACTGTATTGCAGGCAGATTTTTGGTTTCATTATGAAGAGATCAATATCTCTTAGCTGACTGTGCAGCTGTAGAGCAAAAATCATTGTCCTATTGAACAGGAATACAAATGGCTGCAATAGTTTATGGGACCTGATGTTTGATGAACTTTCCCTGTGACCACTTGCTGCCTGCGCAATGGTGAAAGACATCCATCCCAACATGCTATTTGAGATGACCAATGAACTCATAAATTAATATATGATAGTCTGAAATCTGTCATGCATACTCTAAAGTAGAGGGATGTGTAATGGGAGGTCCATGTTATATGAGTAGCGCTGCAGCTAACGATGATTTTATTACTCGAAGCTTCTATAGATCATTTCATCGATTCATTGATGCGTTGTTTAAGAAGTACTTTTGCCTGGCGGCGGCAGCACCGCCCCCCACCCCGGTCACAGGATCGGCTGTGTACGTTGATAGATGATAGATATTTATAAGTCCTTTCGGAAATTGATAGTGTGTCATACAGCAAACGTCAGACCAGAAACCAGACAGCTGCTTTACCAACACAAACATCACCCGAGTGCTATACAAGTTATACTAAAGGTGCAGCTCCCCGACACCAAGTTACCTCATGACTGTGATATTACAACCCTCAACTCACTGCTCCACCAGAAGAACAAACAACACACGTGTGTGCATTTTCAGCTGAGGACTGCAGCTTACTTTGGCTAGCCTTCAACTCAACAATCAATCATGATTTCAGTTAAAAGCTAAAGTTACTGTTACCTTGTCTGTGGTCCGGGTGCTTTCTGATCAGGTGCTGTCATGCAGTTGCAGTAGGCAACATAAGTTTCGTTTTACGTTGGATGGACTGTAACATTACAGAGCTGTTGTTTTCTTTTAGCTTGAAACAATCCCATACTTTCTTTTTTGTCCCTCACTATTTTCTCTCTCTTCCTCCACCTTGCAAACAGCGTAATCATAATCACATTGTGTTCACACAGTGCAAGCGTGATGTGTGACAGTAATAAATGTCTGTGTGAAACAGTGTGCTGTATAGTTATGGGGATTAAACGAAGCGTTGATGCAAATAATTTGTGTCGATTCATTTTAGTAATCGATTTAATTTATGAATTGTTTCAGTGTGAACTTGACTCCCCCTTAAAGTTGTTCACAATTATCTACGTGACCCTGGCTGGAGCTTGAAAACCTGTCTGCATCAGTAGTGCACCAAATCACAGTTCTCATACTCCCACTTTAACGCCTACGTTTGCATGAATTAGCACTAGCCAGTGAAGATGACACAACTCAAGGTAACAGAAAGAACACAAGTTAAGCTAATTTCAAGGAGCATTCCCATTTTAAGGAGCACTACTCAGGCTTGAAAAAAAAATCTATATAGTTCAAAACTATATACGTAGTTGAAAAGCTTAAATGATTGATGTGATAAAAATGTAAGTTTAACCGTTAGAATGTGACTCGATCAGCTACATTGTTTTACTAGATAAGACATATTACTCTTTTGTAGTTTTCGGAACCACAAAACACTCCCACTCTCGATGTGTTACAGATTTAACTTTCTGCCTCACAAAAGATCTTTGTGACAAAAGCCAAGTTTACTTTTGATCTGTCATCAAGTTACATGTTATTGACAGCTGATATAACGCTCTTTACGAATGGGAACAAGACGGGAGAGAGAAAAGATTCAATAACAGATTTGTGTCGGAGCTAAGAGAACCCGCACTCCGAGTCGCTTGCACCAGCGCGGCCAAATAATTTCTCACGCTTGCACTCTTCCCCCAATGGCTTTAAGAAAACATGGACTTGTTGCAAGGAATTTTTTAGTAAACATAAAAGTAAACTGGTATGAACCTAATATTTGATTGGATTCCATGTGAAAGAATGATCGTTCTTATCAACCTCTTAATGGGAATCTCGCATCAACTTGACGTGAAACGTTCCCCACCTGCAACATAAATAACTGTACTGTCAAGTTCAACTGAAAAAGTCTTTGACAGGTTAACTATAATACATGTTTGACAAATGAAACTGTCTGTGCTTAAAACAACATGTCGTGTTTCATCTTGAACAGACTAGTCTCTTGTTTTTAAAGTAATCCTTTAGCAGACAAAATGCTGCAGTAGGCAGATTAACTGGCTTCTCTGCGAAAATTGTGGCTTGAAAATGTAATGATGATGAGATTAATGGCAATGTCCTGTCAATGTCAGTTTCCAATATTTTTTTAAAACAGTAAGAGAAGTGACAAAAAACTAAATCAGAAGCTAAATGCTTGTTTTATTTGGGTACTTTCTATTTTCCTTCAGTAAGGAAGAAATAAATGGAGATTAAAAAGAAAAGGAAAAGAACAGGCTCATGAAAAAAAACATGGCGAATCGCTGCACTCACATTTGCACACACAGACACTACTCGAACATGTCGATGCATACAAAGCTTTAAAACTAGACTGAACAAGCCTCACTAAAAATAGATGTGCGCTTCCCCCCCTTCCTTCCCAATAGGTTTATTATACAAGGAGGTGTGTCTATATTTGGTTTAGTTTTAGCTCACATAACTTTCAAAACTTCCCATTGTTGATTTTGGTGCCGTAGGACAGGTCTCTTACTTAATGCACAGTGCCATTAACCGGAGGCTTTCTGAGTTCAGCCCTGTTTGCTTGGCTCTGAATGGGCGAACAGTGTAACTATGATCTGCAAGTTTCATACACCCACAGGTCCCGGCGTGTTTTGGGGCAATTTAAGCAATCGTCCCAGCCCCAGGCACCAGGCCGTGCTTTGAAAGAGGCAAAAGGTTGTAAACAGAGATAACTGACGGATCTTAGACACGGCTGATTTAGAGTCATCTACAAAAACGGATCATTGCAAAATCAAACATTCAGAAATGAAAAGGGAACATTCCGATGATCATTTGTGACTGACTGCGCAAGAAGCCGTTAAATGTTATGCAACACTACTGAGTGAATGTTGGTACGGCCAATACATGCCAGCTCAAATTTTGGTGTATTGTCAAAATGGCGCCATTCACTACAACCATGAGATGCATTCGATTTTAATCACTGCAGTGAGCACGGTTCAGCCATCCCCAAAACATTAGCATCTCATTTAGTAAAAAATATTCTGTAATTCCCCCCCCCCACAGGTTGTGTGTATTTCCTCCAGCTATGATTCATAAATTCCTCTATCTAGTACTCGCATTAGTTTGCAGCCCTGAATTCAGGGGCATGGTGGCTGCTGAGGAAGTTCTGTGCGAGTGCTGCAACAGTCAATAAAGTAGCAGTTGAAAGCCTCAGCTAATCTATATAGGTCTGAGTCAGATTTCCATCTAGGTCACTTCACTTCTAATTTGATTTCCTGACCTGTGGTCTTGGCATTGTCTCTTGCCTTACTAATAATGTTTACAAGAAGTTAGCCTTGGCCTTTCTCAGTTCCTTAATTACCTCGTTTCTTAACATAATAATTATGTTTATCATGTTCTAATTTAGATTTAAGAGCCAAGAAAATGTTTTTTTCCCCCAATTTGTTTCCTTTAGTGGGATTATAAACTGTTCCGGCTTTTTTAGGAGTAGAAAAATTTGTGGGAAAGTGTCAAGCTGTGATCAATGGTCATCTGTTATGAACATGGCGTATCTAAATTAATTTTCATTTGGGGTGTATTGCAAGCAATACTCACCAGGTCCACCTCTCCCAGGCTGAGCTGGGCACGGCCCAGAGTCTGCCAGCCCTCCCACCAAAGGGGGCGGAACTTCACTGCCATCTCCGCTGCCTTCACAGCAGGGAACACTTCCTGCAGAATGGTCAGAACCTGTAGAGAAATATGATGTGGTTCAACGGTGGGCATGGAGTACCCTTCACAAAGTATAAAAGTGGGATTCCCAGTGTTAACACAGTATGTGCACTACATTAGAATGATTTTATGAATGTCCAACTGAAAGAGTAGGGCTTCATGCTCTATATTGTATTTGCCTTGAACAGTCCTTGAGGGTGGTCTACACAGTTCATTTCAGCCACATTTTTCAGTCGCCCACCTCATGTGTCTGCTCAATACAGCTATCTATAGAGGCTACGTAATGATTGTGCTTCATGCATATAACACTTGCCCTTAAGCTTATTTTTATGATTAAATTAAATTAAAAATTTTCTGCCATTTCATCATTATAGATACAGTGATTATGTACTGAGCTGTGAACGAGTTGGGCAATATTTGAAAGATATAAGATTCCATATTTTTTAGCAAGTTCATGTTGTCAATATTTGTAAATATTTTAGTTTTATAAATTCTATGTAGTGTGTAGAGCCAAACAATTAGTTGATAAATTGATTTGTCAATCAACAGAAAATGAAGTAATTTTAATAACTGATTAGTGACGTGACTCATTCAAGGACATACGGCACAGTGTGGAACAATAGCACAGTCATGGTCATAAGATTACTCTCTGTAATTTGCACTGAGCTCGTTAACCTCTGTAACCTTGCCAGACGCAGTGGAGTCTTATGAATCATCTTTTATTCAGACATTAAGTAGATAAGTGCATGCAGTTTTATAAGAATACTTTTACTTTTACTTTTGTCACATAGGAAACAAGCTGTCAAGGAGCTTATACCATTGTGCATGTATTTGCATAAAAAACGGAGACAAAACATTATTCAAAAGGCTCACTAATTACTGGCTGTGCTGTTTTTATTGTCAACTGCAGTGTAATGTTCTGTCTGGCGCCGAGACTGTGACAGAAGTGCCTGAAAAATTGCTGCTTTTTCTGTCAAAAGATCATACATATAGGTTTGTTTGTGTAAAGCAATTCTACTTTGACACAGCAGCCATCTCACCATCTCACCATCTCACCACGATACACATGTCTATTCACATATTCAGTGGCGACACGAGTGCACTTTTGACCAAATAAACCACAGAACTAAGAGTGAGGAGCAGTGGCTCTTCTGTGTTGAGTGTCTTTCTCTGTAGCACTTCAACAAGAAATTCAGATGAAATAGCACTACTGCATGATACAATTAAATTCAAAAGGGTATCAAAAGGGTACACTGAACCCAAACCAGGTCCAACATCTAGGTGTAAGTTTTATTACAGCCTTTATACCTATGCTTGGCACATAGGCCCATTCAGCCCAAGACCTGTCTGCCTTTGTCTCATACTGAAAGAAATTTACAAATACACACATCCCAATGAAAAATAGCAATAAATGTTAGTTTAAAAAGTAAATCCTAACTTTACCACAAAAACAGTTTTAATGACCAAACAAGCCACCTCTCACTATCACCAAGATCCCCTTAAGTTTAAAATCCTTTACATGGCCAGGAAGAAGTGGTGACAGTTTTACAAATGCAGCCAATTTTCTGTAGAGCGCACTATAGTCTGCTGTGGCAGACATACTGTAGACATATGCGGACATACATGTTGGTAAATTACTGATTGAGTTAAATGAGAAGAAAGTGATGAGGGGAAGTAAATGACCAGCATCAGTGTAACCATCTTCGTCATCTGGGCCAGTAATGGGAATAGAATGAGGTTGAGCCAATTTTCAACCTAATGAATGTGAATCAACACTGCTAATGGATACTAATAGGTTACATGGGCTGCATGTGTGTAGTGAAACACACTGTGGCTGAATCTAAGCAAAAACAGAAGTACGCTTATTTCGTGCTTCAAGTCAGTCATAACATGGGGGAAAAATCCCTTTTGTGGTGTTGCTTTCCAGGCGTGGCCCTCTAATGATTTCCTTCTCAAATATCCTATAATAGATAATATTACATTAGTCATACAATATTCCATGTGATGTAAAGGGCTATAAGGAGATATTTTATTGTGTTAGTTGTAGTAAATGAATAAGAAATAATGCAGAGCGTTCTGTCCGTCTGTCTACCTCCTCTGAGGAAAAGGAGAAGCTACAGCTGAGGAATGATGACAAAAAAAGCCTCAAAGACAAAGACATCGACCGTGAGGAAGTGAAAGGGACAAGAGAAAGGGACAATGAAATGGAGCTATAAAGATAAAACATTAAAGCTGTTGGAAACATGCTGCAGACTTTCTGTGCTGATATCACCTATCTAGCTCAAATGCATACCAAAGTGGCAGCTGAAAGAGGGCCTACGTGGCTGGGATGGCTGATAAATAATCACACACATAATACACAGGCGGGGGATGTGTATACGTACATACACAGGATGTGGTCAATAGCATTCCCAAACAGAAGGACATGAACTTATCTTGAAATTTCAAGCTGCATAACAAATTGCTTGATTTACTGTATGTTAGCTATAATTTCCTTGGTATATCCAGAAAACAAAACCCCGGACATATCGTCCTATCCAGATATATAAGCAACCTCCTGGGCTGAAAAATTAAGCCAAAAACTGCAGTTCATTGAATGGCCACTTGAGGCTGGCTCCAAAATCGAGTCAGTCACTGTAGACCCCCATGTCAAAATTCTCAACTTTACAGCAAAAATAAACATGTTTACAGCCTGGTACAGTTTTGGTGTCTAAAGTTATTTCCCCCCCATCATGACAACTGTGTGAGGGTAAAGTTTTATATAACTTATACATATAAATCATATTAAGGCTTAAAGTTATGCATGATTAAGGATGTGGCTGTTTTGAATGACAGTCGGTTGCCCTCTCATGTGGCTAGCTGCTAGATGGTTCAGCAACCAGGCTTCATTCGGCCCACCTTTGGTCTAGCCAGAGTCAGGCACTGCCAAGATGTCGTTAGCTGGAGAAGCCCACATTGAGTTCTAGAAACCATGTTTAATACAGCCTATGGTACACCCTCAAACTCTGAAGGTAGGCGTTTGACTCCTTCTACATTTTGTAAACATGTACCAGGAAACGGAAGATACATACTATGTCTTAGACATGTGGTTAAAGACAATTTTAACCACGTTACCTCAAGACTAGCTGCTTAGAGCAGAGGTTCATACTTGTTAAAGTCTATCTTGATACAACACTCATATGTGCATATGAGTGTGGAGGTGATATTTCTGGTTCTGTTGCCTCAATTTTTATCCTTTCTGTTTGATTGTTTATTTTTAAAATACTGTGAATCCAACAATTTTACAGGAGTGGAATGCTTAATCGGTGTACTCCTTCAAGCCAGACTTGAAATACTCATACTTTAAAAGAAAAGGAGCAGCAGATATGGCGAGAAACGTGAGAAAATGAGTAAATATCAAAATATAGGTTTATGATATACCTGAGACTTCATCTCATACAGTACTGGATTGTCTGGAGTCAGCTGAATGGCTTCGTCCCACTTCTTAACAGCCTCCCAGTGCCTAAAGAAGACACACACTGTAGTTCAAACATACATGGTAAAACTGGGGGATTAATCAATAACATGAGAAGAGTTTGTTTATGGCATCATAAAGCATAACCTGGCTGCTACTGGTGCACTGTATACCTTTGCAGTGTGATACACTACTAAACCACCATGCATCTGAACTATTTATGTTGCGTGGATGTTTATTGGTATGACTTTCAAATTACCCAACGCTATCAACACCATACATTGCGGGTGTTGCGCATGTTGCACTACATCAAGGTAAACATGACTTTGGATTGACTTTGGCTGATGTTCAACTCTTTGGATAAAGCAATGCTAAAGCACGAGAGACTCAAACAGACAATCATGTAAAGCAGAGCAATCAGACGCTCACGTTTCATCGTGTCCGCCCTGAGATTTCGATGTCACCTAACGCATGGCCACGTGTTTGCTCAGTGGATTTCTTAAAGCTGTTTTCCGTGGTAATTTCTTGTTATAGAGAAGTTGCTTGTGTTATTGGAAATCTTCCCCGATCCTGTCTTTCCAGTCTTGAGGTAAATAGACTTCTCTGAAACATGACTGAGTCTTATTTCAGTTAATGTTTACTAGTCTTATTTCAGTTAATGTTTACTATCACTTACGCATTTTAGTTATTCCTTATTTTCACTCAAACAAAAAGCTCTAAATCAAATGAACTGATCTTTGTTCTTTAGACATGTATATAGAGTGAAGAAGGATAAATGGCTCAGAGGAAAGCATGACGCTGTAAAGCTGCAAGCACACCTGTCCACCTATCTGACAGAATGGCATCACAGGCTAAATAAACACACGCATGGCATGTCCACTAAAGTGAATAGACAGGTCTGAAATCAAACTCTCCCCAGGGAAGCCTGTAATGCAGTCCGTTTCTTATCAGATAAGACTATCTGAGCTAGGGATACACTAACATTGGTTACTAGCTCCCTTTTTAAGACATGCAAAGGGAAAAATAAATACATTTGGGCAGAAGTTAGCCTCACTCCAGGCAACTGTCAGCACTGTAGTCAACTGATCTGTTTTGCATAGATGTGTTCACAATTATTTAGGTTTTTGTCAAGCCGATATTCACTGAACGGACATGTGAACATGTTCATGCTCACTCTAACAACCCTCTCCTCTTCAAGTCAATATTGACTTAAGAATCATTTCAATAGCCTGATCAAGACAACGGCTTGGAAAGATTATGAAGCGAAATCCTGGGTTTGACAACACAATGTGTCTGTCGTGTCTACATCTTTTATAGCTTTATTGAGAAGGATATCCTGGAAACAAATCAAAAGCAATTAAAACCACACAATGAGACCATTAACACTGATCGGTTACAAAACTTGGATTACAACCAGAACCAGGATCAAGCCTGTGAAAACATATTCCACTGCTATTGAACAGTCAGAGAGAAGAAGAGAGGAAATGGAACTACAGCAGTGTAGAAATCTTCCAGATGAGGCAAAAGGCACTGCAAAATCATGTGCGGAAATTAAGCAATATGACAAACTCTACTGTTATCACAAGTCTGTACATCAGTCAAAGCAAGGGGCAGACAGATAGGGAGAGACAAATAATGAAAGTCAGATACAGTAAGAAGCCTGCAATAATTTAAATAATATAAATGGTTGTTTAAGAGGTTTGAAGAAAGAGTGAACAAATGTGCAACTAATTGAGATATGTTATTGTGCTGAAAAAAGCAGAGGGTTGGGACATTCTGACCACTTTATACACAGCCGTCCAAAATAAGGAACCATCCCGAACACATGGTTATGGTGACAGCACAAAACCAGTAAACTGACTGGAATGATTAATGCTCAACGTTTGAAATAGCCTCTGAGAGCCAGATTACATCTTGCAAACTCAATTTTGTGAAAATATTGACTCAGCATGACAGCTAGAATACCATGTTTTTTCAGTTTGGACGGGATCAAGCTGGTATCTGATTGAAGGAGAGAACTTTCAATCTGTCATCTTTTGTACGACCTATTTGAAAAGACAACGGTCTCAAGCAAATGCCTGTTGAGCCTTGCTACGGTCTTTGCGTGACTATTCCAAATGTTCAGAAGACTTAAGGCTCTCACTTCAGTGGAGAACAATAAGTAGTGGCCCAGAGTTAAGCTACATTTACAAATAAATGTATGACTATTCTTTTTGAGTGTTTTGTTTTTTCAACCACTTGTTTATCAGTCAGTTAGATAGTGGGTATTATTTTATTTTCTGTGCAGTTCATTAATAAAAGTGTCACCCAGCCTTTTCATGCATATATAACACTGACTGTCATCCTTATTAAGATTCCACTCTGCACAGCAGCAATAGTCGATATTACAGAGAACATTTTGGTGTGCTGCTGTATGAAGGTTGCTGTGCCTGTAATAATGCGACTTATGACCCTTATACATTTACATTGAAATTATATCTGCTGACCATAAAAATGTGGAAACCTATCTGCAGAACATGTGACTCAAGGGCCTACATTAGGAGCATCTAAACCTTCTAATGTCATCAGAAGTCAATATCGTTAGAGGAGAAAAACTACTGGCTGACATCCCCGACCAGACACCATCTGAACAGCCATTATGGCGCAGCAAGACATCATTTCCCCGGCAAAATCCAGTTTCTCTTTGCAAATCCAATTACAGGCAGTTACTAAGGGTAACACTATTAGATCTTCTGGACTGGGCTTTTTCACAAAGTGATTGTCACTTGGCTAAAAAGGTCAATTATAATGAAAAAAATATCAGTTCCTTAAGGAGGCCTATTTTGGTCTCTAACATCTGGGTCAATCAAAAACAACTTCATGCAAAGTCAGGTGAGTGATTTTTTGTCACACAATATAAATACTAAATATGGTGTTGTTAATTGTTTTTTATATTCACAGGCAGAAATCACTTAAAATAATAATATTGGCTACTTTAATTCAAAATAACATATTCCACAGCAGTATACTTCAAGGGGATTAAACATGTCTTTTTTATCACTTAAGTTTAAAACCTTTAATTAAATTGCCATTTTTTTTATTTCACACCCTAATATTAAACATAGGTTGACAGGCATGAAGAGCCAGCTTGTCCAATGGCCAAAATAAAAATGACTGCCGTTATATCCAAACCCAAATCTATACAATAAAGTATCATTGCAGACACCAAAGCACAACTTGTGCTTTCGCTAAAAAAAAGCCATAAAATAAAATTCTGGGAAAACCTCAAGCTTAGATGGCTCTAACTTGACTGTGCCTTTAAAACACATTATTTATTGAATGTTTATCTTTATTAGCAAGTCAGTACAGCGCTATTAGCTGTGTTAGATGGGTATGTGTGCTCTGTACAATGGTGCCCTCTCTTGGAAGATTTCTAATATCACATGCCCCAAGCTACTGGCAAAGTTGACCTTCTTTAGGCTATTCTATAGAGAATTTAAGTATGTCCTCACCAAAACACATAGTAAAAGCTGAAAGTGTTGTTATCCTTGTTGCACTCTCCTCTCCCTCCTTTCTCACAGTAAAATTCCTAATCATCTTGCTTCAGAAGATGAGCAGCTGATGGTTCACTGGCTACAGCATTAACTGTTTCTGGACAGTACCATCAAAAGGTGTAATTAAGCCCCTGCTATTCAATACTGTAGTGCACATAAGGAATCCAGCAGCACACAAATAGACAGGAACCCCTCAGTATCATAGAATAAAATTTGAATCAAGTTCTAATCCTGCTTGCTATAAAACTGGCACAGAGGACAGAAAAAAGGCTTTCGAAGGAAATAATAGTGCATGTAAAAAGCTTGTTTGTTCAACACAATTCTTTTCATGCAATAAACAGGTGAGCAAATATTTAATGTACAGTATGTATTCTTCTAGAATTGAATTTATAAATGAGCAAAAACATCTAACTAATCCTGCCACCCATGCAACAACTAATTAGTGTACAGCTCTATGAAGAATTAATATGTGACTCCATATACAATGAATTCAATAAAGAAGTTACAAAGCTGACCAAATAATGGATGTTTGTGTGTCTGTGTTATATTTTAAGCTGTCACTGATGTGCACAAAGCCAGCACAGAAACTGCCAGCTCTTAACAGCGTCCCTCACCTGCCTTGCTCAGCCAGCAGTGCACCCTCATCCTTCAGCCTCTTGCTCTTGGCTGCGCAGTCCTCCAGCAGGACCTCCCGCCGTCGTTTTATTGCGTGCAGCCAGTCCACATCCTCGTCCTGACTTGGTCCATCATCGTCAGCCTTCTCTGCCTCAGCCTCAAACTGCTGCACAACTGACTTTAAAACCTTCTCACCAACTTTCCTCTTCCAGCCAAATGAAGCCATCCTGTAGGGAAACGGGAGTTGACTGACTGACACACGCCGTGATTCCAGAAATCCTACCTTCTTCTAAAATCAGCATGCAATCAGTACTAGAAAATCCTTGGAGACAGACCTTTATTTTGAAATATCAGAAAACTGGCTACATTTAGATGTATCTCTTATTTAAGTACAGGACATATAAGTTAGCTAGATACCTAAGAGCTATAAATAAAAACACTGTCAACACAAAGCTAGCTAGCGTGAGCTATTTAACTTAGCTAACGTTAACATTTGCCCATACTCTTGGCACCTGTTGGCAAGTTGCTCTTGATTAAATGTTGACATAATTCATATTGTTATTATTTTAAGTACAGTATGCTCATGAGGGAGGTAAGTACGCACAGGCTTCTGCAGCTTCCCGTGAGCAAAACTAGCTAGCTGAAGCTAACGGTCAGCCATATTTGGTAACTCTTCCTGTATGACCCGGAAGCTGTGGTGACGTTTACATCGTCTCTTAAAGAAACACGAATCGTATTTTAAAGATGATCTTACAGCATGATAAAAAGAAATACTCTAACTAATGCTTTTATTTTTCAAGAAATGCCTTTACTAAAATGTAATGTCTGGAACAGACCTCAATTGTGCCCACTAGATGACACCACGGAGTGCAATTTCATACCATACAAGATGCCATTTTTAATAAAGGTCACAGATTTAATCTAAAATGATTATTGCTTCCCATCACAGTAATGCCATACTGCCATCTAAATTAACAGCTAAAGTCAGTGCTATTTCAAAGTAACAAAGACTAAGGACAACTTACATGTGAGAGTCAGTGAATAAACCTTTCACCTTTGATATCCCATTTACATTGCAGGTAAATATGCAGCATAAAAGCAGTAGCAGGTGGAAAGGTTCAATGTGAACACCAGAACCAGACAGAGATTAAAGCCTTAGGAAACCTTTGCAGGTGTTAAGTTTGAGTTAATTTGCTAATTAGACCTCTTCAAAAGGTCGATATTTCTGTACTTTTGATTTCTATGATGTATGCCGTAATCATCCAGTTTAAAACAACCCAAAAAAAGGCTTTTTAATTAGTACTACATTTCAAGTTAATGTGACTTAATTGTTCCTCAAAGCTGTCCAAGCACTAGAGAAACTTCAGCAGAATTGTGCAGTTTAGCAGTTTATTAGGCAGTTGTGTATACAAATGATTTCCAACACTGTCCATTCAGATTTACACTGGTCAATCTGGTAGGGTCCCTTTACACACCAAACAAAAATAGAACAATATTTCTTTGAAGCAGTTCAGAGACTGAATTTATTTGCCAACAGTCCAAAAATACACTACTCCATAAGCTCTCAAAAAAAGGTCAGTTTCACACATTCATCTTTCTTACAAAACCCGACATGAAACCCATGAAATGTTTTGTAATCAGAACTTGCAACTGCCCTTTACAACTAAAAATGTTTAGTTTGACAATGTCTTTCCAAGACCAAAGAGTATGTTTCTTTACCATGATCACTATCTTTTATAAACTCTTGTTTAAAACTGAGACAATGAAGGTCAAAGATCAACTACATATTTCAGTCCAAACCTGCCCTGCAAGACCGCAAGAGAAACAAGATGATCACAATTTCTGTCACTCTTGGCAATATTTGCTGTATTATCTCTCTGAAATTGTTTATACAAACATATTTTTGATTTTTAAAGCTGTGGAGGGCTAAACACTGGAAACCTAGACTTCCGCAACTGCCAACACCTTAATAAAAATACGTTTTTCAGTGTCTGATATTACAATGACAACATGCAAAGTGTACTGAAGACAAAATTGATGATGACGAAATGACAGTTAACCTTTGAAGTTTGCTTTTTTTCTATTGCCAAAATTAAAAGGTGGAAGCAGTTACTGAAGTCTACAATAGTTTGGCAACAACATAATCAGAAGTTTCGCAGTTAAGAATTCTCTTTTTTCTGTAACGCCAACACATGGATTTTAAACAGTAATTGTGAATGAACACTGACAAACTAATTGGTGGACTTTAACCCTTAAATTTGAAAAAGATGCCAATAATTCTGACCAGCACTAATTCAAGCTTTTACTGACATAAAAACTGATCAACAGTACTGATAAAGATAAGGCAGCCAAACAACAAACACCACTTAAAACTTTAAGACTGTGGACAGGAAATGGAGGGAGATAAATGATGCTGAAGACATATCTAAGACTTTGTGAGCTTGCAATTATCAGGTTCTGTCTGACATTTTTATCAAATAAAAATCAGCCACACATTTATGATCTTAATATTTGTGTGACTTCTTTTCTTCATCAGAACTGCAGGCCTTTACATTTCCAAGCTCACAAGTCTTATTCAGGTTAAACAAATGTAACCTTCGAGGGAATGTGTGGGTAATCAAAACATAAACATATCCAACAGTGGCAATATTTCGAATGCATTTACCTGCCAATATACATTGTCCATGCATTGCATGTAATTGCTACTACTCATTTTCAAATATAGCCCAGAGGCCTATACACTTGTGATGGATTGGCATTTACAATTTGAATGTAGGCAAACGGCATTTAACTCAGTAATTATACTCAAATCCTAATTCTTGATCTAAAATATAAGAAATAGAGAAAATACAACAAAAAAAGTGAAAATCAACTTGTCATTTTAATATGACACTGAAAATGATATATTTCTAGAATTTGACCATCATGGCAAAATATCTCTTAAATGGTAAAAGCAGGCTATATTTATCTGGAAAGACAATCAAGTATCAGAATAATTGTGATTGAAGGAAAACTAAATTGTGATATTGATTTAAAAACCAGACAGTAAAAAAGGAAAATAGATACCATCCAGCAATAGATCTTAATGCAATAAAGAAAAAACTAATCCATGTCCAATATAACCAACACTGCGTCCACTTAACGCACTGATAAATATATTCACGTCTTTATATATAAAAATGTAGGGGACAGACAAATCCAAACAATTTTTTACAACAAGGACAAAACCATGACAATTTAGTCTCTGACAACTCAGATTCTCAAAAAAGAAAACCAAACATAAATCTGATGAAGCATTCGGTTTGTCCCTGACACAAGACAGAAATACATGGGTCATTGCACTTCTTCAGAGTCCAATGAGTGTGATGGGCTTGACAACCCTAGTTATAGCCAGTGCAGTGCCAAAATACATCTGCACCACTTCTCCGATCCCCACTGAGAGAAATACAAGAGCAGCAGGAAATAAAAAGATACTTGTGCAAAAGTGCTTACTGCATCCTATACACCTACCACCCAAATACCCAACCAGCAACGTGTGGCTTCCTTCTCTGCAGGTCAAAAATTGATCTTGTTCTCCGTACTGGACAGCAGTGCTCACTGGCTACAGTACAGGAAATTCAGTGTAATCACGCATATATGTATAGGTGGGATGTGGATATTTGCTATTACATTGATCAAAATGTTGTAAAACTCCCTCCAAAATGTTTTCTGTCCTAGCTATTAACTAGCTTGTCATTCTTTCCCAGTAACCCCTTCCATTCCCTGCCAGCTCTGTATACATCTCTTCTGCTTAGGGAACACTAACCTGCATCAGTGCCATGGAACAATCACTTCATCCTCAGCCAGGATGAATTGAGCCATGAATCGGTTGCATGCTTATTGCTATAAAGACACTCGGAGAGGAAAAAGGCTAGCGATTGTTTTGCAAGCTATCGTGCAAGTAGTTTAATAAGATTTGCACACATCTCAAAGAACTCGATGGTGTGGCTTCCTGGTCGAGGGACAGGCACGATGTCCCCCCCTCCCGTTGAGTCGATGGATGAGGTCAACGATGACGCTAAGGAGCCTTCTGCGGCCTTGGTGGAGTGCACAAGGCTGGATATAGCTGGAGCGTCTGCTCCATCTACATCGTTCTTAATAGTGGTGCGGTAGTTGCCCACAGACCCAGAGCGGAGAGGGGTAGCAGTTCCAGATTTTGTCTCCAACATGTCATCTGAATAACACAAGACACAAAATGTTTTCTACAAAACGCACAAAAAAACAAAATTTCATTTCATATCAATGTCTATAACCTTGTTATCTTCAGGTCTTGAAAAGTCTTAGAAAGCACTAAATTCTGAAAAGGGTCTTTAATATTTTTCTTTCCTGCAATTAAAATGTTTTTGTATGCGGTAACGACTGTTTGGATAAACTAAAAGTGGGATTGTTGCAACAGCTGCATATAGCAAAAACACATCATTTTGTATTCCAGGTAGCAGCTTCAGCCAAATTTGAGGCAGACTCAAATTTGCTAATGATAATTACTGTTGTAGGTTAGCAAATGAGTGCATTTTGCCAAGCATATGCAGTGGAACTCTGCAGAGACTGGCTGTGGTAAAGGAGAGCAACACTCACCGGCTGAGGTGGACACACACATAATACAGTAAAGAAAGGATTGGGTTTTCATCCGTTTTATTTTAGCTGATACAGATCCATCAAAATATGCCCAGAGCAGCCCTATTAAGATCCTTAGGATCAGCTCAGGAAATCTCTAAATTATTGTACATTCTGCTGGGACAAAAATGTGATATAAATATCAAAACATTTGTGGACTAACTGACTTCACTGATTTTATCTCATTCTTTGACCAGTGTGATTATGAAAAATGTATTAAATCTAATTCTATGTGATATTAAAATGGTCTTGAAAAGTCTTAGATTTAATGTGATGAAACACGCTGTATAAGGAAAACCCTGTATAACGTCTCAAAAATCAGCTTTAGACATTCTGCGTTACTGAGCAACAAGCTCAGCCATAAATTAACAAGCTCAACATAAACAGTGTGGCTCACTTTGCCGTAGCCTGAAGTCAAGCTTTAGTCTCATAACCTTTACACAGCATGCCTGTGCTATGTTAATGGCCTATAACAGTCTTATCTCATATTTTCCTTTGATGTCCCACTGCGCACCGACAGAGACGGTGCAAAAGCCCAAGCCCTGCCGAGTCAATCATTTATGAATACTGCACTGACGCAGCGTACTACAGGACAGAAGCCAGGTAAACACTACCTAGATACAAGAAGCAGAATTCAGGGCTTTCCCCAATATCACATCAATGTTAAGAGGTTATACTTATAATTTACACAACGTAGTGGTATGATAATAGTTTAAATGATACAACTACCATTAGACTACTGAACTATCAACTGAATTATAATTTCTTTTAATATCTTTTATTTTATTTTCATTGGAGAGTTTAATCACTGACCAGCTTTTTAATTCTAAGTCTGTTTTTGTAAATATGTAATGTAAGCAAAATCATAATTTTTCTGTGTTTTTCTACTGACTTGTGTTAAATGTAACTGAACCAGAACAGTAAGGTTAAAACTTACCGTCTATGCTACGGAAGTCTAGGAGGTAGGTTCTACTGTCCACTTGGTAGAGTTGAAGGCTCATCTTGGTTTGCATCCCAGTTATAGGATTCTTCCTTCTCACACGCAGATAATAAGGATTCACAACCTGGAAGAGTTGTGAAGGTTGAAGAAACACTGACTGTACAAAGCAACCTACTTAAAAGGTACAGTGATATCACAAACTGTTACTTAAAACTAAACATGATCCTAAATATGTGAGCCCATTTCTTTTTAACTTAACACTGTTTTAGGCAGATTTTCTCATATACCCCTCTAATGGATGTTTTTTTCCTTACCTTCCACTCATAATCCAGCTGTTTCATTGCACGGCACACTTCTGACATGATATCATTTGGTCTACTCTGACTGCGGATACCCAGGTGCCACTTGGCCCTCCTAACACCCTGGTGCTTGGATTTCTGTGGGTTCAATTCATCCAATGTGTGGCGAGGCCTGGGCAGAGTCTCGGCCACAAGGAAGGGTACACGCTCAGGGTGGGGCTTGCTAATTCCGGTCACAGCTGCACCAGATGAGGTCAGGTGCTGGTCATCTAGAAAAGAGTCGGGAGGACTGGACGCCAGGTAGAAATCCTTGGCTTCATTCATGATCCGACGATTGTCAATGATGAGATGGTAGGCAACGGCCAATGGATCCTGATGGTTGCGACTATATATGCATGACAGGACCTCCTCCTCTGTGCACTCAAACTTGTCACATACCTCCTTCAGGGCCTCGTCATCAATCATGTTGTTGCTGTAGGAGGGGTCCTCAGGGAACAAGTACTTTGGTAGGTCCTGTTTGAACCAGTCATCCTCTCTGGGAGGAGAAATAATTTTTGTATTAAAACAAACCACAGATCATGAATGCAACTGTGTCAGTAAGACTAGTTTTACATATTCACTTGCCTTCAAAAAGACAATATGCTCTGAAATCTAGGCATAAAAGTGGTTGGTTATAGAAATAGCTGCCTGACTGTGTAATTAATCTCATCGGTCTCACCGGATCTCTTTGATGGTGGCTCTTTTCATTGGGTCCACCTGCAGCATGTGTTTAAGGAGGCTAATTACTGAAGGGTTCAGATACTGCGGGGTGAAAAAGATCCCATCACAGATCTTCTTAAAGAGTGTTGGCACATGGTCGTCATCAAAGGGAAGTGTCCCACACAACAAGGCATAGAGAATGACCCCACTGCTCCAGATATCTACCTCTGGACCAGCATATAACCTGAGGACAAGTAAAAAGAAACAGTCCTGTAATCACGAAAGCAACATTTTACTGGCTTTGTTTATTCAGCATCTTGTAGTAACACAACATGAGAATGCTTTACGTTCTCTCACGTTGTCAATGTCAACTTCAGATGATAGAAAAGGAAACATTACCTTCCTGAGATGACCTCAGGAGCAGCATAGTTTGGAGAACCACAGCTTGTTCGCAGGAACTCTCCGTCTGACATCATGTTTGATAAACCTGCACAGAATTTTACACCGCACGTGTATAAACGCCCATGGATTTAAACCTGAAATTATGGATTTGTTGGCCATTTAAAGGTGGCAAACAAAGCAAAGTCAACACAACTCTGACATGTCACCTTTTAATTTGATATGGCAAACTTGTTAGCAAACGGTTGGATATTTACACATCCAAACGTTACAGAACAACATTATCATTCATCTGAAGTCATGTTTCTATTTTATAGTCACTCTCTTTTAGCAAAGACAACAATTTTAATAGTGCGATGCTGGAATCAGACATTCAGAGCTACTTATATGAGCCAGAATACAGTGTGGAGGAATTACGGCGTATGGAGGAGGAAGAGACTGCCACAGTGGAGAGTCAGGCACTGCCAGCTTGTGAGGATAGCAGCACAGAGCTGCCCCGTGCCAGGGACAACTGTGTGCCAATCGTAAACAGAAGTGGAGGTTTAGCTGTCATAATTCAGGATCCCAAAAAGAAACTGGAAACAACAACCACAGCCCGTGGGGTGAAGCAGACGTCTGATCATAAAGTAAGTGCAACCGCGACAGTGTTTTGTTACTAGCATGGCAACGTTACAGTGATAAAACATATACCGTAAAACTTTGAATAATAGCCCGGGCTTTTATTTGCTAAAATCACTGAACTGACCCTGCCTTTATTTGGGACAGACTTCCATTTGGGACAGGCCTTTAATTCCTTTTGCACAAAACTGTCCTATGAAACAGTTTATTTATTTCAAACAGAATAAATACACGTTGTTCATTTCAGCTAAAGCAGGCGACCCCGCGGGGTTTAAGAGGTTTTATACATCCAAAGAACTTCTATAAAAACTAGACCAGGCATTAAATTGACACAGGCGTTTATTTGTCAAAATGTGTTCCCTCACCAGGCCAGTAAACGGGATAGGCGGCTATTTGGGACTCGGCTATCAATTGAAGTTTTACGGTAATACATGTTTTTATGAGGCTTAGAATATACACTACCAACATACACTTACAAGTTTTTTTACTCAGCGGTACTATTATAGTTTAGCTTTAGGTTAGTACCTCTGACCAGCTGTTTGTAGATTTTTGTGAGATTGGCCTTGGAAGGCAACAGGCACAATGCATTCTGGTAATTGTAGGTTTTCTACATTTTGAGCAAAAGGGAATACCACAGCCCATTTTCTCCATTTTTCTGTGGTCATGCAGCTCCAATTTCAAAAATGTTTGTGTCTGCCTACTCCCCACTTTAAAACGGGTAAATATCCCTTTAAATACGTATCCGCAGTATCATTTCAAAAGTTCAAACGGTTTGATTTTGATATCTTGAGGACGAATGTTCCACCTCATCCTGCTGGCCCCAGTGCAATTAAACTTTCAGTAAGCACAATATGGTGCTACACAGATAAAATAATGAGTTATTTATTCCCCATAAAGTAAATGCTTAAGTACAATTAATATTATTCCCATTGTTTCTTGTTTATTCTAGTATCTACAGCTACTGCAAGTCTCCTGGCAAGGAGTAAATGCCTTCTTCTCTCGAAGTATGATGTGGTACATTGCCTTAAGGTAAAACACTACATTCAGCACTTTGCATGAGAAATACAAGGTGAAATTTAGATTTCAATAACCTGTTCTGCATGTGTGCTTAGCAAGACCTAGTCTTTTTAGTAACGTGCTGAAAACACATTTGCATTGAGTGTTTCTAACCATGAGGCACTGTGTGTATTACCTGAGGCTTAACACACATGTTGAATATATTTCCTTCCTTTTAAAAATATATTTGAAACCTGGATTGTTTACATCCATGTTTACTAACAGTTAGTTTTCTTCTTCCTTGCCTTTGCTGGCACATTACTATGTTTCTTTGGCTAACCGCCAACTGTCGGTCAGTAGAGTGAATGCATCAGAATGATGGTGATCAAGAAACTGTATTTAATGTCGGTCAGTCACGATACCCAACATGCAAGGTCAGCATATGGTCAAACACTCCATATAGTACTAGGCTTGGGTGTTGTTTTTTTGTTTGTTTGTGTGTTTGTTTTTTTCACTGGGGTATACATAGGGCAGGAAAATAAAACAATGACAATAATTATCTAAATTTTTTTTTTCCAATAACAATCTAATAAATGTTCAATAATTTTTCAATAAATTTATGAATTTGTTCACTTGAATCATACACATATTAGGACTCAATTTTTAATTCAGATGTTTATTTTGTTGAGGAAAAAGGACTGAAAAAAAGCTTTTACTTAATTTTACTCATGTATATTTGTTGAAAAGATTTTATCATAATTGTTTTGAATGTTCTACCTCAGATTTGAGAAGTGATTCACTGTTTGGCATCAAGTGTTGACCATAAAGAAGAGTTTAAACCACAATTAACCATCAGGTTTCTTCAACTTTCACTCAGGAGAAGAAATCAGCCTTTAAACGTAATGAAATTAAAGAAATAACGATTTGATATTATCGAAATTAAACTTTTTATCGTGATAACATTTTTGGCCATATCATCCCTATGTGTTTAAAAAAAACAAACAAAAAAAAAAAAACAGGAGGTGGATAAGACAGGAGTGAAAAACCACTTGTGTCATCCTCTAATACAAACACATCAATGGGCTGAACGTTTATCACACAGCTATATCTGTGTTGGCTGCCTCAGCATTATCATCACGACTAAACCCAAAACACTCCTAAATAGGGGCAGAGGCATTTTTCTTGTTTACAAGTCCTGTAATGTTATTCCCACCACTCGCAGTCGCTATCGAGTAGCTCCTTTTGTGTGCATAATGAGTGTGTGGTTGAGGGAGAGTGAGCAAGCGGCAGGAGAATACAGCAGAGCAGAGGATAAGGTGAGCAGTGTTTAGCAGTAAATGTTCAGTGAAGGTTACAGTTTGTCAGCGAATAAAGGACCAGCCTCCAACTGCTGGCAAGTGAAGGGGGTTAATGCAGTTACACGCTTTATAGCTTGCCTACATTGACGGCATACACTACAATACAGCATGTCAATACAGCATTTCCGTTTCACTTGAGTGATACCTTGATCCCACCCAAGCTTACATGGGACATTTAATCTAGAGCTACTGAACAAAGTCCTGTACTATTTTGTCCATAACTTTCATATTAAAATAATGTCACCACTTAAGACTCCCAAGTTTGGGACTGAGACACTTACCAAAGTCTGCAATCTTGGCATTCATGTGTGCATCAAGCAGCACATTTTCAGGCTTGAGGTCTCGGTGCACCACCATGTGCCTGTGGCAGTAGTCTACTGCTGAAATAATCTGCTGAAACAGCCGACGACTCTCCTTTTCATCCAACTGTCAAAGCAGAAATTATCCATTAGGTGAGATCTTCCCTGTGACTCAGTTAGCGCATCACAGCTGACTAAGCAGAGCTTCGTGCTGTGATTTGGTATCTTTTCCAGCCGCTGTTGGTTTTTGGTTCACGGGTTACTGTATCTGCACCATAGGCTGCCAATAACACAGAGCACATAATGCATTTCTGTTTTCTAGTCCCCCCACTGATAATAAAATACACAACATATGCTACATGCTACACGTGACAAGATGAAAGAGTGATAGAAGTATGGGAAAGCAATATACGAGACTCTAAAACATTTTCCAGTATCACAGTGTATTACCTTTCCATTTTTGCAGATGTAGTCGAAGAGCTCGCCTCCTGAGACATACTCCATCACCATGAAAATATCTGTAGGGGTGCTAATAACCTGATACCTGCAGACATTAACACAAAGTTGGTGGGTCAACAACAATTAGTGGATATTACACTGTTGAAATATGGACAGTTATATAGACATATAGGCGTTAATACTTCATCATTGTTGAAACATCAAAAGCGACCAGAAGAAATATCTTTGTATTCTCCGTGTCTCACCAAAGCGCAAGCAGTAAAATGGCAGAGCAACGATATGACTAATATATAATATGTTGGTATTTTATGTCCTGATAACAAAAATACCACTTTAATAAAAGACAAGTATGATATACTTGTCTTTCACTGCACCATGCATTCCCTCCCTCTCCCTTGCCCTCAATTGCTGTTCAGTAGTAGAGCTGCAACAATCGATTAATCGTACTGAGTCATTTTTTAAGAAAAGAAAAGTAAGAATCTTTTGATTTGGGATTCTTAAATGTGAATATTTTCTGGTTTCTCTGCTCCTCTATGACAGTAAACTGAATATCTTTGTCTTGTGGACAAAACAAGACATTTGAGGATGCCATCAACACTGATTGACATTTTTTGAAATTTTATAGACCATACAACTAATTGAGAAAATAATGAACAAATTATTCAACAATGAAAATAATTGTTAGTTGAGGCCCTACTCAGTAGTAAATACATTTTCATAAATGATGTTTAGGGCAGTGTCCAACACACTTTCAACCAGGGCCAGGAGGCGGATTTACGAATCCTACTATGGCGAAGGCATGATGCACCGTACTCTGTCTCTGATTGGTGTAGCATGATGATAACATTTCTCACGTAGCCCTACCCAGCAGTTAAATAAGCTCAATCTAGTTGCGGAGAAAAAACAGTAATGCCGCTTCCAGTACATCAGACATAAAAACACATTTAAAAACCTTCCTTGTTTAAATACAAAAGATATTTAATAAAAAACATACACCTCCCACCAGGTAACAACTAGGTTGTTACCTTTATTGTGAACAAATGCGTTTAAATGTCAGTAGCACAGAAACCACAAGATTTTAAATACTAAAAAATAGCAGCAAACTAATGACAATGTAACAGAGTTAAGATATATCTTCAATCCACCAGCTGTAGTTCATACATCACAAAATTAGCCAGTGCTGTCTAAAGGTGAATTTTTAGCAGGAATGACCAATGCTGACTAATAGCTAATAGCATGTGTAATGATTGATACAAACATCCTGTAAACTCAGTGAAGCAGTATTGTATTGTATTGTATTGCTGTATTTGCCCTCACTAGACATTATTCAGGATAAACAGGAAATGCTGCGCACTCTGCTCCAGTGTTCCTGCACACTGTCTAAGAGCCACTATCTCTCTCCCTCCCTCTTCCTCTGTCACATACCAGGCAGGAAGTACCTCAGCAATTTTCCATCTACATTTTTGATCAGTAACTCATTTAGCAACAGTGCACCACTACAGCATTTTTGTATTGCCAAATGGAGTGTTTGCTTCAGGCTAACAGGGGTTACCTGTTTTAAAGAAACAGGAGAATACTGAGCTGGCCTCGATTAGCATCACAGTCAGTCCAGACTGATGTTAAACAATGAGTCATTCAAAATCACTCAGTTGTGTATCTATCTGAATCAATACATGCAAATGTCAGCAGTTTCATCAACTTTTTAAAACAGGATAGATAATATGTTTGCTTTGACAAAAACACAAATTTGGATTACAGGTGACAATTCTTTCCTGCTGTATTAGAACTGCACTTTACAGACCAATGAGTTCTGTAGTGAGTACACTTCTAGTGAATAATAATTTAATAATAAATAATTTAAGAAGAAGAGGTCACATAGCAAGGCATCGCCAAAGACAAAGCGTTTTTACATTAAAGTGAAAGGTCAACAGAGGAGATAACCACATCAGCCAATAAAGCAGAATGAGCAGAGGACTGAAGAGAGGAGACTGGGTCAGAGAAATATTGTCCTAGATGGATGTACTCTAAAACACACCATTATAGCCTGGAAATAGCTCAGTGGGTGGCATTAATGTGGCGGCAGGGGGATTATGGAGCAGCGAGCAGGGTATAATCTAGGACTTACAGTTTAATTATGTGAGGATGCCTGAAAAGCTTGAGGTTCTGGATCTCCCTGCGGATCTTTCCCACCACGTCCAAACTGCGGATCTTCTGCCTGTTCAAGATCTTCACTGCCACTTGGTGCTTGGTCAGCTCATGTTGGCCCACTGCAGGATAAAATGACATAAGCGCACATGAGTAACACCAATTATAGCCACGATACATAAAAGATGAAAAGGACCACAATTGAAGGGGAAAATATTACGTAATGCAAGTAATACAAACTACTGTTCCTATGAGGTGAGAACTTTGTACCTTCAAAATGCCAGATTTTCAGGAACTAAGACAAACATTAACGTTTTGAACTGTCTTTTTGGCCACCTGGGGAACAAGCTGTAAACACACCATCGACATATTTTCACCTCATAAAGTTGCCATGGTGGACATGTTAGTTATTTATACATCCAGCAGACACAGATCAACACCATCACTGGGAGTCATGTTTCTGTCCACCTGGTTAATTTAAGTCCAATTTTCCAGGTGGGTTCATGACAGCCTTGTTTAGTCCGGTTGAACCAAACGCGGGAGCATTTACCCCCTTGGTGCAGTTCATTTGGGTTGGTGTGAATGCCAGACTCAGACTCTGGTGCGGGCCAAACTGCTCTCTGGTCTCTGGTCCACCTCTCGGGCCGCTGTCAACTCTGGAGCGGTTCATTTCTGGTGTGAACGCCATTTGAACATATCACAGGAAGTGTACCATTGTATGAGTCATTTAAAATAGTACTTATTTATTGTACTCCTAATAACTGTACTATTAAATGTATTATTGTTATTTATAATATTTCATATTTATCAGAATATGTTTTATTACCAAGTAGGTTTTCACTGTTGCCAAATTGCCTTGGTGTTTGATACATACAAAAAACATATCAACAGGAAATAAAAAAGAAGGCAAAGTAGTGCAACAGTCAAGAACGTAAATATAGAATAGGAAATTACAATAACCATATTATCCATCCATCCATTCATCCATCGTCAACCGCTTATCCTGCGTACAGGGTCATGGGGGGGGGGGGGGGGTAAAAATATACACTAAAAAATATGTACAATATAAATAATATGTAATATTTGTATGTAGGGCCATATTTGCAATAATTCATTCATTGAAGGAGAAACATTTGGATGATGTAAATACAGCATGTTTTTATCCTTTACTAGCCTATTTGCAACTTTGTGACCATTGGGTGTTTTCAAGTGTGGCCCACTTCCTTCACTGGTCTACTTTGTATGGCAAATGCAAACAAGTCAAGGTATGATCTGTGAAAAGACCGACTGATGGCGGACCAGTTGGAAAAGTTAAACAAAGTATCATCCTTGCATTGGTTCGATTCAGGAAATGGACTTTTAGGTGTGAACCCAGCCTCACTCTTGATTTAGCTCTGGTCTGGGCTCCACAAACTCCTGAGGTAAAAATCTACACAATGCTCCACTATGAACACCAGCTAGTCACTCACATTGTCTGTTTGTCATTTAGTGCAGGGCAGGTAGTTTATGGTAGGTTTAATCAAAGCTTTTTGCTGTTGCAGACTGGAAAAAACAAACAAAAAAAAAACAATGAGCTAAAAGACACTAAAATGCTTTGTAAAGATGAGGGGAACTGCAGAGTTGTGGGATATTTCTCTATAAAGTCATCACTATGAACAATCAAATTCACATACAGGTAGTCATCTGATCTATTGTTAATATGAAAATAATGATTATAGCAGCTTTAAGTGTTACAAACTGCCATGGAGTGTTGTTCAGAGCTCAAAGTGCATCTGCAAAACACTGAAATATCAATGTGCCTGTAACCACAACACTCAAGACTGAAGACCCTATTGAAGAACTATTAACTAATGAAAAAAACAATTCAATTCAGCTTGTTTTCCATCTTGAGGATGTGCTTTAGTCAGCTGCTTTTCAAGGGGGTTCCCAACCCAAAATATTTGAGATCTATCTAAACCCAAAGATGTAATCCTTCAGTTGAAGTGAAAATAACCATAACTGATGCTGCAAGAATTTCACATGACAACTGCAATATGAAACATTAGCAGCCTGGAGAAAAATGTGCAAACAGACCGAAAACATGAGAATAAACATAACATCTAAATGGATGGTGGGAGTTACAGCTGCTACTGATTTACCAGTTTTGCTGGTAGTGAACTATTAACCAAGTCTCCAGTTATCAAGACCATAAACTCCAGTGTACTGGAGTCCTCTTCCTTACAACAACAACAAAAAACAGAGATGACTCACTGGGAATTAACTGAGGGTAAACAAAGCTTGTGGTTGTTCTGACTGTTTTTCTAGAGAGGGTCTGGTTGGTTCACTTCATTTAGGTATATTACTGCTTAACCATGTGTTCCTACGGGCCAGAAACTGTTACGGGGTGAAACAGAAATCAGCCTAGAGAAGAGTTTTTATCCTTTTAACTATCCCATCAAACGACAATAGGGGCACCTGTAAAAAGAAAATGTGCGCAAATACAAATGTACGTTTTCCAAAATCCAATAGGTATTTCAGACCAATACGTGTTGATACAAGCAAAGCTACGTTATATATTGACATACTAATTGTACCGCCCTCTAGACTGACAAAACTGGGCGTAACGTTAGATCGGGCTGGGTTTGCCCCTTTCCCTCCCCATTCACATCCAGGTATTATAAACTCTAAAATAGGATAGTAAATAACGTTACAACTCATAAGGAGGGAAGAGTTGAGATCAAATGTAGTGCCAAGCTGCAGAACTTTTTTTATGCTTATAAGAGAGGAGTAACGACACGAATCGTGATAACGTTAATTAATTGCTTCTCTTTAATATGTAACCAGCTAGCGCTAACACCAAGACGGTCCCACTGACTGTCTTGACAAGCGACTTGTGGCTTTCTTGCTAGCTCACAACGCAACCGACGCTAACTGAATTATAAGTGGCTAAAAAGACGCTAATGTCATAAAACCTGCATTGTTTGGCTGACGACGGTAACTGCAGCTGGATCCCAAAAAAAACGCTCACGTCTGTCACAAACAAGTTTAGCTAACTAGCAGGACAACAAGTGTGTTACCTTCCTGGCGTTGCGACAAGTTAGCTTTCGTAGCAGGCTAGATTAGCAGCTACGCTAAAGGCTCCATCTTTCAGTTGGTAGGATGCACAAACGTCAAGACAGTCAGACATACCTTTAACCTTTCCAAATGTCCCCACTCCGAGTGTGTCTCCGAGAATGTAATGTCCAATTTTAACTCTTCCTTCATGTTTCGGTTTTTCCGTCGCCATCTTCCCGCGGTGGCCTTGCTGCGGGGCTAGCTAGCTGCGGGCAGAGATGGACTGATCTCCGCTGTGTGCGTCTCTCTAGCGGCTCTGTTCCGCACGGAGGGTGGGAGGCGCCCCGGCTCCTGTGCGATTCGTCAAAAGCGTAAGCGACGTAGTACGGTGCCTTCAGGTAAACAAGTAAACTCCTAAATCTGGGCGTGATTGTCAGCTTGTCGAGGATTAAACTTGTTTGTACCTTGAAAATATTAGGTGTGTGGTTATTTTGAAATCAAGGTCACAGAGAAAGTTACATTAGACATGGACATTAGACATTAGACACACATGTTGTAATGAATGAGAGACAAAAGTAAGACAATATTGTAAGCATGGGCACAAAGGAACAGAATGTTCAAATGTGCAAATGTAACTAAATGTAACATTAATCATTTACAGAAATAGTTAAACAGCACTGAGGAAACTTTTTTATATACAGTCTATGGTGGGGAGCTATAAGCTATAAGTTTTCTTCAGAGCAGTCAGACCTACATTATGCATTCTCAACAGCATACAGAATTAGACTTTAACTTAAAGAGAGTTATAGACAGGGAGTTTTTATATACAGTCTATGGTTTAGGCCTACATATCTCCCTGTTTCTAGTGAATGTGATTCTGTGGTCACACAATGTTGCTCAATTTTAAATATGTGGCACGCCCAAGAATAGGAAACAGTCGTTTACATTGCGAGAGTAAGTGTGAAAGAAAAACATGTACATACACAGAAGAACTTAGATTTTTCTAAAACATGTTTCAATAAATGAAAAAAACCTGCAGTATGTTAGAGAAACTTCACTCCTCTACAAATTTTGACAAATATCTGTATCCTTCTTTATATACACATGGTTTAAAAAAAAAATTAAACATGTTGAAATTTACAGTAACTTTGCTCAATAACAGCACATAAATGTGCCCATATCCCTATTAAAACAATAAAAAAAAACTGAACTTGATCTGGGTGCAGCTCTTCTCAAACTGACAAGCTCATGTCTCTTTTCCACAACTAACAAGGAGAACAAACCAGACCAAACCAAACTGAGAAGAACTTGCTGGAATAAGTATGTATAATACTGTAGGTACCTGATCAGAGCAAATGTGTGTCTAAACAAGGCCCAAATGAGAACATACTGTTTCACTGCATAGCTGAGTATACAGTTGGCTGATACACAGCTAGGCAAAATATGATTCTTCAGTAGTTGACCTTTATCCTACATACATAACTCATGTCCTAGATTATGAGTAAAGTATTCCAGTATAGGCTTAATTACCTAACATTGGTGCCTAATAACCATTTGTCAACAAAAGCCTATTTGCTGTCACTGGTGACATTTCTTGTCTATTACTTGATTTTATCAATCCTTGGATTATCGTTAAGGCTTGGTCACAAAACTATGCAAGTGTGTAAGGTGAGTTCAGTGGGGTGACTCACTGTAATATATGATCATTCTAAATCTCCTCCAGGCTGCATGCCGCAGTGTCCAAGGATTTTTGTTTACATATATAGGTGCTGTCAAAGATAATAAGCAGGTGGCTTAAGAGCAGAGCTGCAGAGCTCTGGGTCTAGAATGAAGCAGGCAAAGTCTGCTGAAACAAGCCTGCTGAACCACTTTTCATGCTGCACAATCTCCCAGACAATGGCAGCTATGAATGCCAAAAATTAATCTAAACGAATCTTAGCCTCTTGATCAGAAAATCTCTTTTCATCGTGTTATGTAATTATTTCCCCAATAGTCAATTTTGTTTTCTGTTTTAGGCTCTTATTCATCATTTAGACATACATTTTGTCATGTCTCAGTATTGTATTCTATTTTAGGAAACTATTCAACGGTTGAGAGATGAGAGCAACCATATGGTAGGTTTAACAGCAATAAGGTCAGTCATCTGCCTCCAGAGACTGAGATTTGCACCACTTTAGTAATCATGGGAACAGTATTTTAACTCATGGTATAGATTCTCATAATGGCACTTCAAATGTGACATACCTATCCCATACAATCTACAGGAAACTATTATAAACAAAGTTGTTTATCAGTCTACTGTGTACGTTTTTAATTGAATGGCTTGCTGGGAAACAATTTGACAGCCCAGATCTTCTCTGATACGTGAGACAGATGTGAACTCCCTAAAGTCCTCCTGTGCCCACTTGCCCATCTTACAGATGGGACTTGTTCAGGGCTGGTCTGGGCTGGATCTCCTTGCGATTTGTGAACATGTCTAGAATGAGCAAGTCAAAAGTGGCTGAACTTTGCTGTGTAGGATCAATGGTGCTTCTTGACTCTGAACAGAGCCACTTCTACCGTATCTCATGACCTGGGAGACTGAAAATTCCTCATAGACATGATGTGAATAACAATCAGCTTGTCAAGGACTGCTCAGTGTCAGTAATGCATGACCAAGCACCCTCAAAGTATCCCAAATCATACCCCAAAGCACAACACAATGTACTACAACTTTTTGCTAAACCAAACTGTAACCCAAAGTACAGGCTGAACAAATACCTGTTTCACTCTGTCAGTGAGTGATTATTAAAGAAAGAATTGCCTGGTGATCAGTTACCATGACTCCCCTGAGAGATCTGGTAGGAATGAACAGTTAGTACCAAAATGTCCTCAGTGACACTTGGTGTATGTTTGTGTATGTGTGTGTGTTTTGTGTTTCATTTTCTTATATCTTGGTGGGGACTTTAACCTGAATGCATGCTAACCCATGAGGACTCGTATCACTGGGGGGACATAAACTGAGGTTCCCAAGTGTAGAGACTGCCTTTTGAGGGTTAAGATGTGGTCTTAGGGTTCAGGTTACAATTAGGTTACGGTTATGTTAAGGAGTTAGAGAATGCATTATGTCAATGAAATGTCCCCACAGGCATAGTGGGAAAAAATGTGTGTGTGTGTGTGTGTGTGTGGTTTGAGATGAAATGATACTGATTACATTATACATAGTTCCCCCCATTTTAGGGAACAAGATGCTCCTGGGAAGTTTAACATCAATACAGTACCGTGTGGTAGTCAGGTGTGTTGGAAATTTTTAATTTCTAATCAGAAACCTACAAATGTGATCACACAAAATCCCCTCAGTGGTGACATGTCTTGGTTGCTTGTCAATCTCGCAGGTGCGATTTCTCAGTAGAGGTTCAGGTCAGCACTTCTTGTTAGAATGAGTGGCTCATTGACACTAGATCCAAGATTTATGTATTTAAAGAGACTCTAGAGGCAATGCTACATATCATTGTACAGATTTTTTTGCATTTACTATAAGAAGTAGTTAAATGAGGTTTTACATTTCAAACCTAGATGGGCTGAAAAGTAATTTGAGATACTGGAGCAACTTATCTAGAAAGAGGACACCTCGACCTTAACACCTGTTCATAATGTTAAAAATGAGGTCGATGGTGAAACCAAAAGGAAGACAATTAGCTAATTAAGTCCAGTGATAACAAGATGACAGACATGGGCTATTTGTCCTATGCAACAATCACTTGGAGGAATTATAAATGCTAAATGAGAATAATTATACTTGACATTATAATAGTATTATAGTTCTTTGCTGACAATGATCTTAATGAAGGCCTGCAGCTTAAGCTGGATTTTAGCACTTATTGGCTTACTTATCACCATGAAAGATAAGGTATCACACTATTATATTAAAATGAAACCTTCACTATTACATTTTTAATGGTGTTCCACAATGTAGTTCCTCAATTTGCATGAATCCATTTAAGGTAGTTTGTTCAACAGTCTGTCACTTTCTCATTACGAGTCAAATATCTCACTCATGTCCTGACTTTGAGCCACCAGTAGATGGCAGTGGCAGAGCAGACACTGAGGACGAACATCTCCTGCCCTTGTGTTACCAGTGTGTTCGTTTTTCTCATGTCAAGTCACGGCAATTAATGATCATCACTGCAGAATTTTACAACTTTTAAATACTGATCTTGAGTCAGCAAACGCTATGATTGAAATGAATACATCAAAAATGAATCTAAAGTGAGTCAGTGACTAGAACAAATTGTATATATGCTATCTTCTGAACGCATAGCTGAAGCAGACTGACTGCGGACATTCAGAGAAATAAAAATGTTTGTTTTTTTTTTAGTGAGAGGGAAGGGAGTGAGATGGTTAAGTACACAGCAGAGAATTTAAAAAAGACTTTCTTTCAACCAGCCTGATATCTCTTACATTTGAGATATTAAAAAGTAGATGAAATGCAACAAAAAGCAAAAGTAAATTTAATGTTGCTAACTGTAGGAACCATAATAAACAAATTTGGACCTAACATGGGCCCCAGGGTCAGTGCTATAATCATTAGCTGGATGTTTCATTTTTCCTTATATGAGCAGTGTCCAACTGTTGTAATTTCTTCCGCTGTGCCTATAAACTCCTGGCTGTTCATTACATGCAACAGTGATGATCACTTTAATTACAGAGGTGCTTGTTATAATCCTACTTGGTCCGCCTGTTCGCATTCTTGTTAAAGTATTGCTTACACTTATTCCACACCCAGGCACATACTCTATCAAATTAAATAGGAATGACCTTTACATACGGAAAAAATAAGACACAAATCAAACAAGCAGCTATTTCCTTTTTTATATAAGCATTTTATTGCTCAAGAGTATGTATGCATATGGCTGCATGTACATTAAGTATCATGAAAAGTGAAAGAGACAAAATATGGAATGAAAGTATTTTACAATGAAACAGTGACTTACTTGTCACAGCCATATATTCCCACACAATTTACCTCTGCCTGTGAATGAACTAGAAGATGATCATGCAAAACAGAGACTGAGATTATATATATGTAATGCATGGGTTTCACCTTTACATTTGTCATCACCGACTGTTGTTATATGACCTTTTTCAAAACCACAATCCTTTATTGAATACTCCCTTAACTCGATGGACAGCCAATCTATGACTGTGGAGTTCTTTGTAATGCCATTCACTTTTCAATGTACAACACAATAGGCTTCAGTAAATAGTATTACTGCATCTATGACTAAATCTACGTCTCAAAGTAGTACATCATCTCCTGCTATAAACGGAACAGTGGAAATGTATGATGAAATTAAACACAGGTGTTCATAAATGAAATAAAAAAAACACTACATTTAAACACTAATATTAAAGAAGTTAAACCAGTCATTTTACACCCACACTCAAAATTATTTAAGAGTTTAAAAGAGATCTCCATCGCTGCAATAAACAATTCAAAACTTAACAGGCCAGTGTAAGAAGACTTTTAATTCCTTTGGTGTCTGCCAACAATGTGCATCTGAACAACAATAAAATATGCAATGTACCTATTAGACTGAAAACAAAACAACTTAATAGTTTATAATATGTTAAGTGGGTTAAAAATACTACGAGTACCAAATTCACAGTAAATAGTGTGTTACAGGAAAATTTAAACTGGTGAGACCAACACTGAGGCACAAATCACAGAATTCACAGGACAATGAACCCATGGCTGGCTGGTGAAAACATATATGGGAAAGGAGATGCGTCAAAAACAATGAGAAATGAATAAAACATGTATGAATTACAAGACAAGTATAGGGTAACCTAAACAGTAAAATCACCCAATAAACAGGTTAAATGCTCGCTGTGACATAAAAAAATAATGTTAAGAAAAGGGACAAGAAATTACATTTAAAAAAATGTGAACGTCACTTACTCAGAATGTTGTGGACACACCATATCAATATAATTCAACAAACATCATTAAAACTAGCTTACCAAATAAAGAACATTGTTCATTAGTGAGCTAAGAGGACTGCTTGAACTGAACACCATCCTTTTTCAACCTATATGTTTAAGCTCTACAGTATCTGCATGTTGAGGCACTTGGAAAGAATATGATTGTACTGTGTGTAGTATATTATGTACATTTGTTATGCCTGTGTGCCTGTAAATCACACTCCTTCCAAAAATTAGCACGTGCTTAACCTTACAGATCTAAAACTGAGTCACTGCTCTTCAAGCCACATATCGAAACTAAAAGTCCCATGGTCAACATGATCTCTTATTCTTCTCACAACTAGTGTGAGTAGTCATCTACAAAAATGGCCATGATAACCTAGTTACTGATTCCAGATCAGTATTCCGGCTCCAAAGGCAGTCGCCATTGACCCAGAGGAAATGGGCTGGGCCTGTAATCTCTGGCACCTGATCTAAAGCGAGAAGCTGACCAAGATTAGCCTGGCATGTATCCATCCAAGACCACTGAGGACAGTGCAAGAATGTGTTGGGAAAACTGCTTCTTTTCCTTGTGCTTCTCCAAACGCATCCTACCCTCGCATTTGTTAAAACGAAATGTGTCCCAAAAATGAAACAAAAGAAACAAGCAAAGGAAAAACAACCTGTGGAGAATTTTGAGTCTTCCCTTAAAAATATAACTATGAAACACTTACTACAAAACTTATTTTTTCAAGCAGATACAACTATCAATGCTACATTTTAATTAAGTAAAAATATGAATGAATAACAATATTCACAGTCAAACATCATTTAGTGAGTTGTGGTCTTCCAAATAACAGACAACTTGCACACACAGTATATCACAAAATAACATCTTTAATCAGTGGTCCCACACTAATACAACACTCAACATGTTAAGAGAACGACTCAATTTCACGCAACCACTGGTCCCTCTTCTCCGCTAGTAGTCTGGAGGCTGACATCAAAACTTAAGGCAGGCTAGCAATGTCCCGCTTTGGAGGGGGTCCGTCCGGTTTGCAGGGAGAGCCGTTGGCTTTGTCCTCAAAGATCAAGACTCTGCGGGGAGAGAGGAATCATAGCAATTCACTAGCAGTGTTTACACATACCAATATCAATATCTGTGATTTAAAAAATATATAGATAGATAATTATTGTCTGACATACATACATACACACACAACAATATAACAATTATAACATTAATTCATTGTGATGAACATGCGCATGCGTAGGGTTGGGTATTGATTCAATTTTAACAATTCCATCGCTATCTTTTTTAGTAAAGCTCAGCTATTCTTTGAGCATTTGCTGTGGTCCACCAAGGTCCAGGAATCTAAACAGAAGTAAATGTAAATGCTCCATATTTGTATAGCGCCTTTCTAGTCTTTTTCGACCACTCAAAGCACTTTTACACTACATCGCATTCACCATTCACACACATTCATACTGTACATTGGTGGAATAGCCACCAGGGGCAATTCAGGGTTCAGTATCTTGCCCTAGGACATTTCGACATGCAGCCTGGAGGAGCCAGGGATTGAACCGCCGACCTTCCGCTCCATCTCCTGAGCCACAGCCAAGAAGAAGTACTCTCTTCTCGCATTCTTTGGTGGTGTACTGTGTGACAAATGACGTGACGTTGGGTCTGTGTAGCACGTCCTGGCAGATAAGTGCAACTTTTATGGATTATGTAAAATGCTCACCGCAGTTCATGACTGAAATATGCAAATAAATCATGAACCGATAAGCAGAATCAAAATGCAGTTCTCTGAAATTTTTTACCGATTTCAACTTGGCACCGGTTCTCGATTCCCAACTCTAAATTTAGATTTGACAATGCCATATTGAGGTGTGACTAATGAATTAAAAAGAAAATTACATACTGCAGTAGAGTGTAAAACTGCAGCAGTTAATATACATTACAGTTTCAGTTGTATTTAAATGTGCATTAAATTGGAATTAGGGCTGCAACTGCATTATAAATTTATTTAACAGATTATCTTTTCAGGCCCTGCGACGGACTGGCGACCTGTCCAGGGTGTACCCCGCCTTTCGCCCGATGCCAGCTGGGATTGGCTCCAGACCCCCGCGACCCTGTACAAGGATAAGCGGTTGACGATGGATGGATGGATGGATGGATTATCTTTTCAATGAATTGACTAATGGCTTGATGTATAAATGTCAGGAAATAAAAAAGAGCTGTTACAATTTCCTGAAGTCCAAGTTAACATCTTCAAATAGCTTGTTTTGTCTGACTAACAGCCCAAAACACAAAAAATATTAAATTCCTTTCTCATTAGAGAAAAAAAAGTTTAAGGTTTGACTGGTGTGAGAAATGGGAAATTAAAAAAGCAAAACAATGTAATGTGAAAAGTCTGATTATTCCTGACCCATTATAGAAATTATAAAGATTCTACAACAGCGAACAAATTTATATTTTCTATGTGACTCTTTTAAAAAAATATTTAAATGTATTTTTTATATTTACCTATGTTGCTTGTATGTTTTACGTAAAGCACTTTGAATTGCCTTGTTTTAGAAATGTGCACTACAACGACACTTGCCTCACCTTAGTTGTCAGTTCTCACAGTAGGAGCCAATCAGAGGTGAAGAACCTCTAATTTACAGTACTGCTTCAGATCAATGCCGTTGATTATGCCCCATGCTGCACCCTGTGCCGTAGCCTGTTGTGCACCTCCCAAAAAGTTTAACTACACGTCATGGCTCAACATAGTGCCACGATCAAAGACATTCGGAATAAAGAAATTGTCCAGCGAAATGTTAGTTGCACCAGTGTGACCAAGAAAAAACTAGTCGCATTCAACATTTTTTTTGCGTGCACATGCAACCAAATTGGTCGCACTCTGGAGCCTCCATCGACTAATGGAGTAATCCACTTATCGCATTAACTGAAATTACTTTAAACAGGCACAGACAGGGACACTTGGTTTAATGGCTTCAGCACCATGGAGAGAGGCATGTAAATGTAAATTAGGAAAACAGAAGGTAGTAACAGATTAAAAAGGTGAATGACAAAAGTCTAAACAATACAAGCAGGATGCGCGAGTCAGGAGGGATCACTGGCTACTGGAGGAAACAGAGAGCCACAGTTACATTCGGGGTGTGAACTGGCTGAGCCATAAGTGAAAGGACGGGAATGAAGGGAAACCACAAAAGGGCTGAGGGGAATAGTGGTTTAGGCTGTACATAGCAGAGTGAGTGATCTGACAGGAGCTATTCAGAGCGAATGCCTGTCTTTAATTTCCTTTTTTGGAAAACTCTGCAAAGCCCCACTAAGCCCATAAGGAGCAATGATCCCAACGACGAAACCGGCACTTGCTCAGCAACTCAAACTCTGGCAATCACTTTTCCTTCACACGGTTGGAACCTCCTGTGCTACCCAACGCTGCACAAAGTCGGTCAAGTCACCACTGACACTGACAGTCAATTAATACTGATTGAATTATGATTACTAATTACTATGAATTAAAAACTCTTGTTTTTGTGATTCATCATACACAGATATGTGACTTCAATGTTTGTCACTCTGTAGCCAAAAAACTGATGATGACTAATTTTAGCATATTGCCATGTTAGGCTAATCTGTACAACAGAAGAGCTTAATAGATAAAGTGATCAGCTGACTTAATCTTGTCATTGTGTACATACCACAGTCGATGATACATACCAGATATGTTTAATCTGTATAAAGGATGAAAAAACATATGTACTCTCATTCATACACAGTGATTAATTCAGTAGGTAGGACCCCTGTGATAATCTAATTTAACAAACAACAAAGTAGACTTTCATGGAAAGTGGCATTATGTTTTGAGTAAAGACTAAAAACAACTGTTCTGTAGTTAAGATCCCTGACAGCTGTTGCTACTTGTTAAACAGTCACTAGTATACAATAAACGATCTGTAAGGCTCTTCGGTCTTCAAAATGTTGGTTAAACAAACTAAAGTGACGTGCGTGTTTACAGACTTGTGTAATACACTAAGTGACTTTATTCAAAGAGCTTTCACAAACTGGTCCACAATGTGGAGCTTGACCTCAATCATATTTCCTCTGATTGCGCCAAAATCACCTGCGGCCCTGCTACATGCTTTGAATAACACCATTTTAAAGCCGTTTTGTTCCCCTTAGCTTCTCCCTCCCCTCTCAAAAACAGAGAGTAGGGAGCAGTAGGATCCCAGCTGGAGTTAAAAAAGCACAAATTACTAAGAAACAGCAAGGCACTCTGTGTAGGTAGATAAACCTACACGCTGTTAACTTTGAAATCAGAACAAGGAATATGTACAGTAGATGGTGTTAGGGCTAGCTCGAAGCTTCTTGTTTGCATGTCTGTTCATTCTGTTTAAACCCGCTAAATTAGGCTACACTAATATTATTAGTATTATACTACTTGTAGAATTAGATTTCACAGGTGGCTGTGTGGGATTGTTTCCAACTTGTGTGATCCAAACATTTCCAGTAACTCCAGAGCATTGTAAAGTCCAAAAGTCAAAATGTATTGAAAAAATTATTCAATACAGGTTTTTAACCAACAAAAAATTCTGCTTCAATCCATATGTGGTGGTATTTAGCCTTTCAAAAACAACATTTTCACTGTGGTTAAAAAACTGCTTGCTGCACACAAAGGGGGGAGCGCACCTGTTTTAACAGGGTGGTCTAGCAGCAATGTAACAGCACAATAAATTACATTAATATAACCACAATAACAAAAAATCTGTTTTAGCTCCAGTGGTTTGTGACGTTGCTACCTAGGTTACCGCCTCCATCCTTTGCACAACGAGTGTCACAACAAACTTCTGCACTTCAAAATGTTTTCAGGATAAGACTGCTGCCTTTATGTATTTAGGTTGATTAAAGTATTAGGTGGAGATGAGTATTATTCATTAAACAAAGTTGTTTTAATAAATATATGAATAATTTATCTAATCTGATAAATTACTTTATTCATTTTGTTTGAAGTTTTTTTAGGGTGATGTCATAAAATATGAAAGATACAAGAAACCTTGAATGAAAAAAGAAAAGGACATATGATACAGCCCTATATACACTACAAAATGTCAGTAGTCATCAGAAGATCACTAAAATAAACATTCCTTTCCTGTTTATAGGTTTTCTAATTCTGCAAAATCCTGCACAGCAGAGTTTAAGATTTCACAAGAAGGAACAAAATCATCCATTAAAAAATACTAACCCAAAATGAACATGAGATTTCAACATCTGTTTAAATGTGCTGATCTGCTAAGTCAAGAACAAGACATGATCACTGGCGCAAATTTGCCTGGTGAAAATAATTATAAAACATCTTTTTCTGGAGTGCAGGGAATATCTTGTACTACCAAGTGGGCAACTGAGTCCGGAAGGAAAAGAAACATTTATAAATAGCGACTGCGGGATTATGCGATACACTTTCGAAAAATGGTTGAGGCCAAAGGAGTTAAACTTATGCATTTTCTCTGCTTGGTGTTTTGGGGGATTATGAGATTTGTCTACTAAATGGTCCAGCCAGCTTAGTCCAGAGCTGACATGCAGCAGCCAATACACTCTGGCTCCTCTAAAAGCCTCACACTGCCTAGACTAACCCGTTTCAGAATAGCAGGAAATGTCACCCTATCAAAAATAACAAAATAAATTTAAAGAAAAAAAAAGATGAGTTTTATTGATCGAATCTGATGAGTTTTGGTCTTCTTGTCATTCCTACATGACTGTCAGTGGTTAATCAGCCTATCGTCAGTTACCTAAGCACATGATCCCAGCTAAGGATGAGGATGGGTTGACTATGGATAGGCCCCATTGATGGGGTTTGTTGCCATGGAGATTAACGACTAATGCAGCATGTGGGTAGTGACATCATCGCGAGTCATCCTACAACCCCCTGCTGACGGATGAAGCAATTGGCTGATGCAGCACACGATTCGTATCCTCCCCCTCAGACGTGCAAACACACACAAACACAATGAACCAGCAGATGGTTTATTGACAGAACTAAGTCTGTATATAAAAACAGGTTTTACACACGTGCACAGAGGTGTACTTACAGTTTGAGCACAGCGGAGCGCTTGCCCAGCATCATCTTGACAAAGTCCCTGTAGTTGATAGTGTTGCTGCTGCCACCCGTCACCTCAACGATCATTTTTTTCAACTCCAAGTGGGTCTTGGGCACGCCAAGCTTCTCCATCATTCGCTTCAAACCCATCATGTCTGAGAGAGGGTACAGATGACAATCAGATGTCTGCATTTCTAACATAAATGAGATTGTAAGGAAATGGGAACATTGTCTAAGTGCTTTATTTCATGTATCTGAGGCACTTTAAAGGGTCACTCCAACAATTTTAAACATATTCAGTTTACCCATCAAAGGGACAACTACTCAGCCTGTGTGAGGCTGTACGTGGTCAGTGTTACGTCAGCATTCTAACATGCTGATCTTTAGTAGGAATAATGTTTACCATGTTTACGTAATAGTAAGTGTAGTAGTAATAAGTGTTTGCATGCTAACATTTGCTAATTAGCAATAAGCACTAAGTGCAGGTGAGGCTAACAGGAATGCCATTCGTTTTGAAGGTATTTGGTTACAAAACAAAATATTAGACAATTCAGAATTTTGACCTGATGCTAAAGTGGCTAAAAAATAAGTCTTAAAGGGCACTTAGCAGCTCCTTTCACGGCCTGCAGATGCCAAATCTGCTGATGACTCCCACACTACAGTTTATCTCACATCTGCTCAAGAACTAAAGACCTCTTACAATGGTGCACAGTATGGAGTCACTTTACATCAGGACACAGACATGACACATGAGCCTGTTGAAGCCCTGTGCTCACACTGGTCAGACAACACACACACACACATTATTAATTACTGTTCCCTCCTGTCGATACAGCACATGGCTCATCTGACAGTTGTTATCTGGGGTGCAGTTGTTATTTTAGCGCTACTATTACTCACCAATCTCTCCTTGGTCATTCAGGTCAAACTCAGCATATTTATCTGCAAAACGAAAACACACGCAAGAGATTGTTACCAACAGTGGTAATTCATACGTAGCTCACACACCACATCCCTTTAGTGCAACATTTTAACAAAACACCAATCCTTAGCCAGCCATAACTGTGAACACACAGTGTCCACTGATCTCACTGTCTTACAATCTGCTGACAGCTGACCTGGCAAATGGAAAGACACAAACAGCTGATAATGACAGGTGTGTTTTTGTCTGTGTGTGTGTTTTGGATGTCTGTCAGTGAAAGCAGGCAAAGGGCAGCTGAGTGGGGGTGGACATGTGAGACAGATTAAAGTGCGGGGGTCACAAAGTTAAAAAAAGAGAACTAAAAGTTCAAACACAGCAATGTGGAAGGAAAACAAAGTTCAGATACAGAGTTTTCCCTCATGGTCACTCACTCAAATAAAATCTGATCCTTCTAGCCTGACAACATGCAGACAAGCCACTGATACTTGCCACACCCGATCCCCACAAACAGCCAAAGATGCAACTAATATGTTAAAGAGCAATTAGAAATTCTAAAAGCATTATACTTTGCCAGTGTTTTAAACATAACTACTTGGTTTTCAGTTTCAGCTGAAGAAAAAGCAGTATTTGGCCTTTGTCTGGTACCTTCTGTACACCTAACTCACTCATTCTTTTTTTACTGGCACCAAACATCACTAAACATGTTTTTTTTAACTAGCAACGAGCAACGTACAGTACACAGATGGCCATTTAGCTTAATGGAATATTTTTGGCAGTTTGGAAAATATGCTTATTCTTTTTCTTGCTGCGAGTAAGATGAGAAGATCGATACCACTCTTATATCTGTCCGATAAATAGGATGCTGGAGACAGCTAGCTCAGCTTAGCATAAAGACTAGAAGCAGGGTGTAACATTTAGCCTGACTCTGCACAAATGTAAGAAAAATGTCTAATATTTTCCCGAAATGTCTCATGAGGAAATGTGTCATCTATCTGGAGTTTCGATTGTATTTAAAATTCTTTAAATTGTTGTATGTTAAACCTGCATAGCTTTGACAAGCAAGCTGAAAATCTTCAGTAAGTGGATTTGATTCCATGTTCAACTATCAAACTGCAACTCAAAAAGTAATGTTATTTTGCTTTTAGGTGTTGATTCTGGTATTTGTCATGTGCTTGTGTGGTTTATTCTTTGTCTGGTCTATAGATAGAGTTGGACAATATGACTGTATACACTGTGCAATATTTGAATTTACAGAACAACAAAAATTTCCACTAAGTCAAAGAAATAAATAGCATGCGTCCTGGTTCAATTATAAAATCCAGGCTCAGGTTTCTCCTGAATGGTTGCTGACTGCTATGTCAGCTGAAGAGTCAATCATACTAAATTAGAGCTGCAACGATTAATCGATTAATTTACTTGTCAACTTTTAAATTTATCGCCAAATATTTTCAAAAAGTAAAAATTCTCAGATTTAGGCTACTTAAAGATTCAGTGTGTAATATTTCTGAGGATGTATCGACAGAAATGCAATATAAGATCCATAACTATGCCATAATATTAACTTGCATCAACATGTTTTTCGGTTAGCTCAGTTGGTAAGTTAGAAGATTCTGCAGCGAATGTTTCTCAGATCACGGCATGTGCTGTAGTGTTTTTGTTTCGGTGTTTCATGCACATCCATCAACCTATGGCAATTCCCCAGTATCTCCAGGCAGAGGACATTTAGGGGAATCACGTTTTCTACAGACTCTTTGTTGTTCAAATTTTTCAAAATAAAAGCTCAATTCAACTCCAAATACTGCAATACAGTAAACAAGCTTCTCGTGCTTTTATTTTGTCGGCAAAACCACTAAAGAGGAAGTGATTATATTAATAACTGTTGCTGTCATGACTGAGATCTATTTCAGCACTGCTGTCAAGGTATTTATTTATTTATATTTTTTGCCCTATCAAAGCACCCTAATCTGACTGCGGGCCAGATGTTATTGTTGGCTGGTAGTTTTAGAGATGGTCAATAATCGCAGAGAGAATTAATGTGTTTCTCTTGTCAATGTTTGCATAAACTTTATTTAATGTATGGTTTATAATGGACTGTGGTGCAGAAACAGTGACAATGTTACACACTCTTGACTTACATTTTTTCATGTTATCTGTCAGTGGTCAAGTCACAATAACATATGGTTTTACTGAATAATTAAGTAAATATAATTTCTTAATAAATATACATAAAGAAACCTCATTTCTTGACTGGCCACTCTCTGCTGTCTCAGAAGACACCTTTTATGCTGTGTCAGCCACCGTAGCTGTCCTACGCTCTTTGAAAAGTTAGGGGGCAGTGGTAGACTGGACAGTTGGTTGCAATTCACAACCCTCACCACTAGATGCCAGTAAATCTTACACACTGAACCTTCAATTGTGAATATTTTTGGGCTTCTTTACTCCTCTAAAAAGTAAACTTAACATATTTGGGTTGTGGACAAAACAAGACATTTGAGGACGTCATCTTGGGCTATGGGAAACACTGATTGACACTTTTCACCATTTTCTGACATTTTGTATTGATCAATTAATAGAGAAAATAATCAACAGACTTGAGAATGAAAATATTCGTTAAATGCAGACTTTCACTAAACAGTAGGAGGTTGTACCGCCAATTGTTTCAAGAGAAATTTGGCGCAAGGGCGTAGGAGCGACTTTGAACCTGGGGGCGCTGAAATGCTAAGGGGGTTTTGGGGCATTCCCCCCGATTGTTTTTTTTAAATGAAGCACTTAAACACTCATTTCTAATGACTTTTGGACACAGAATGTATTTATTAGTGTGGCTGAGAGAAGGTACTTCCTGTGAAAGAAGATGGAGAATAGACTGGAGAGGGGAGATTATGAAGACTTGGGTACACAGTCAGAGAGACGGAGTATAATGTAACCAGAACAAAACAGACTACATAAAAACAATGGAACAGCTGCTAGTTAATGTAGCTAGCCACAGTACAAATGTATTTAGTTTAGGGCTGCAACGATTAATCGATGACGTCAAATATAAAAATTTGTCGACGTGAAATTTCATTGTCGACGCATCGTTACATAGATGCCATTTAAGGGAGAGATAGCAATCTTCATATTAACTGGTGCTGGGGGCAGTATCGCTTCCACTGTCTGCCATGACTGCTTGACTGTAACAACTCACGAAAAAGAAGCATTCATGCGAGAAGCAGAAAGTAACGGAGAAAGAGGCAAACAGCAGAATGCCTTTTTTTGTTTTACAAGTTACTAAATACACTTTTGAGCGGTTTTGAGGTGAAAAATCAACTGTGTAGAATTTGAATAATGGCAGTTTTACCAAAGTTGATGGCGAAGTGAAAATGTGCTCAAACGTTTTCGGGGTTGAGAAGCTCCACAAGTGCCATGAGATTAGTGGTGCTGGCCGGCCGGCCAGTCACACCCACAGAGCCTGGTCCAAGTTACTCAGACCACTGCAGCAGCAACAACAGAGCTGCAGAGACAGAGCAAAGGCAGTGTTTCCTATACGTTAATTTATTTGTGGCAGCCCGCCACAATATCAACGCTGACCGCCACATACTGATTTTGTTTTTTTTTAATTTTACAAGCCCTATTTAAAATCTTATTTGATTGCAGATCAACGTCATAGCACATTCGCGCAGCACATCCTCTCGCTCGTGTGTCTCTCTCTCTCTCTCTCTCTCTCAAACACTGCAGCACAAATCTGTCCAACACAACTTTGGCAATGTTGGAGACCCACCTTTAAAAAAGTTATTAGTAATGAGTAATGGTTTAAAGTACATAAAGGAACATCTGGCTCGTGATGTAGCCTACAAAACATTCTCCACTGAGTTACTGCCTAAAACCTATAAGCACTTTCGAAAAATAAACTACAGAAGCAGTACGAAAGGGGACTAATTTGCTTTTATTTAGTTCAAAAGCATAAAACTTTGTTAAACAGTTGAAAGTTTTAAAGTTTGTATAAATCAGTAAATTATAGGAGTAGCCTACGCTGTCTTGTCTTCTTCCCTGGTTTGCCCCCTGGCGTTTGACCAGTTTTCATTCTGAATAGTAAACCCTGTTCACTTAATGGTAATGTTAGCTAGTTAGGCTGTGTGTTGGACATCAGTAATTCACTTGAAATATATTAGTTAAATGGTTTATTTAGGGTTAGGCAGTAATTGTGACTAGTAGTCGACTAATCGAATAAATAATGAACAGATTAGTGGACTACGAAAATAGTCATTAGTTGCAGCCCTAATTTAGCTATCCTAATGTTACACTTGTGATTTGTAATATTTCCTGTCTCTCAGTTGGCCCTGACTCTCCCTGCAACAAATGTTTGTGAATTCAGAACGCTTCAATGCAAACTCTGATGACTTGCTTTTGGCATAACAAAGTCTTTTTACTACGTGAGTTTTAGAATTTACTATGTCAGTCTACTAGCTATCCATACAACTTACAAGCTCCGTCCTCCTAAGTTTGTTCTACTCCTCCTCCTGTGACCTCTGTCTTCTTCCTCTTAAATACTGTAGGATGCTCATCTCTGTGTGAACATTTAGACTATTTCTAAATTGTTTATGGACACGGGGCTCTGGGTCTTTTGAGACCTTTATTCCTGCATTCTTGAGACTTTTATGCAAGTAGAGTAGCCATTAAAATACATTTTCAAAACTAGAAACACCACTCTAACTCACCTAAAGTAATCACTTCAGCTGAGCCTTTGAGTACAATAAATAAATAAATAAGCCATATCATCATCAATTTTACCATAAACTGGTGCTTTGGGCTCTGCTGGCCTCAACTCTGTTGTGCTCTTGCCCTCATCTCGGCTGTCTGTCTCATGTTCACCATGTCAGCCCTAGTACTGGGGCTGCTGGCCAGTGGCGGGTGGAGTACTTAAAATCTTTACTCAAGAAAAAGTACAGTTACTCCCATAAAAAGTAAGAGGAAAACAACCTACTCAAGTAAAAGTATATTTAAAGTATATTTTTATTTCATCGGATGTGCATCAGGTTTTTTCTAGAATGCAATTTGAGTATTTATTATCTGTAATTGAGCTATTTCCGTTTAATACAATTATTTTTTATTGATAATATCACGCTTGCTGCCTAGCCAGTACTGTTGCCTGTCTTTTATTTTGGACATGGACACCAACCAAACCACTTGCTTTGCAGTAGCACAGGCAGCCAGTACAATCTGATTATTTCTGAAGAGTCTAAATCATTTTTACAATGCAAAGAATTATTGTGGCAGTAACACAGGAGCAGCTTGTTGTTGAAGCAGCGTAAACCTACATACACAGGAAGCTGTGAGTCATGCGTAAAGCCAAAAGCACTGTTTTATCCTCCCGTAATTTTTTTCTCTCTTTCTCTCTCTCTCTCTCTCTATATATATATATATATATATATATATATCATTGATTGTTTCCTGAATAAATAACAGCTGGTAGCTGCTGAGTGAAAGCCAAGATTAGTTTCACCGGCGACATTCTGTTTATGGACTCACCATCCGACATCGCTTTAAAACAAATAGTAACCAATCATGTCCATCAGAAGAAAGTGATGTTCTTTACAACAACAGGACACTGTTAATATATCAGAATCAATCCGGTGATCATCAGACTTAGATGTTGATCTGCAGAGACTAAATACGCTTTTAATACAACGTTAATCAGGTTTACCAAAACGTAGATGTTGAAATGTGGGGGCGCAGACATGTATAATGGCTCCTACACATATGGTTTGCCGACATTGACAGCATCAGAGCAGCATTTCCATCAAAACCTCTCTGTTTCCATCACAGTTAGTTTTGTAGTTTGGTCATTTTGACTAGGTTTGTAAACCTTTACAGTCTCCTACGCTGTTATCCCGTGTTACACTGTGTACTCATTCACGCATAAAAGTGGCTGCTGCTGTGAAATACCAAAAGCAGACATTTTTCCACTTCTCCCTAAATTTCACTATTCTCTTTTCTCTTGAAGACCACTCCAGTCAGATTACACTTGCCATTTCTGTCCCACACTGGAAGCTCTGTGTGTGTGTGTGTGTGTGTGTGTGTGTGTGTGTGTGTGTGTGTGTGTGTGTGTGTGTGTGTGTGTATGTGTTTGTTGGGAGAGAGAGAGAATGAGAGAGAGAGAGAGCTGTGTTTACTGCAAACCCATGAGGAGTGGGACAGGACAATGCCAACCCTGTTCCTAAACTCTGAGGAGTGGGCCTCCACACACACACACACACACATACAGGAGCTCTTGAGTGGGCAACTTGTTGTAGAGCAGCCTGTTGATCATCCGCAGCCACAGAAAATGCCTCAACTGAACAAAACCTAAATGTATCCTGGCCTACATTCCTTCAGCTACTGATGCAACATTTTCTACTTTAATCAATTTTTTTCACTACTTCTCTTTGATGTTCATAAGGCGGTCTGTGTTTGAGGGTGCGTGTCTACTAATCACTCTGGCAGCTATCATTCGAAGGGGGTTTTCCATTGTAGAAAAAATAACCTTGCTGATAAAACAGTGGAAATAGATGACAACTTCCTCTGCCACTTTGGCCCACAGATAAAGAAAGAATTTACCCAGCCTTTTATAAAACACCGACCCTGTGGCCAGACAAACGCCTCAGTGCAGGCTTCAAAACAAATCTGTTTAGTCAAACAAAGTTATAAAAAAAACCCTGAGCCATACAAGCTCAAGGGAAAATATGATATGCATATGTTTAAAATTTGTCAAGTGGTCATTTGGCAACCACAGCTGTCCCAGGGCACAAAACACACAGGGAGCAACACATTTCCAATGTTCCTTTTTTCAGCTGTTACACTGTGCTGTCAAGCGTGACTTGACAGTAAAGTCAATATTCCACATGAGTAGCAAACTACTACTTTAGAGTAGCAAAGGAATGTGCTCTTACATCAACCCATATCCAATTAAGAGCCCGATCGATATTGGACATTTAAGTCCAATGCTGATTTCAATATTTGAGGATTTTAAAATCCGATATATCGGCCGATATCCTTTTCCCCCTTATTTTAAGAAACGCATAACATAAACAAAGATTATCCCATCATGCAGTATAAAAAGAAACTTTTTTATTGTTATAAATAGTACTTTAAACAAAAGTACAACAAAATATTTTAAAGTTTTGATAAATAAGAGTCAAATGTATTGAAGTACAGAAAACATTTTTAAAAATATGGAGGGGACCAGCAAAACAAAACTATAACAAAAATACCAATATAATATTACTACTACCACCATATATCATCTCTCATGTCATTGCTATAATAATAAACAGGGCCTCTTACATAGGCAAAAATGTATATATATATTTTTTGCCACAATGACTTTCTACTATGTAGCATATTCACATATAGCTTATCCCTTTTATAACTTTGTTTGGCAGGAAGCCATGTTAGATTCTTGTTCAGCTCATGATTATTTACATGTTCCCTCTGGTTTAATCATTTCTGACACGTTGACTGTAACTACAGCCAAGCGGCTCGCAGATATATTTAGAATAAGTTAAAGCTACTCTTTGCAGTTGTTTCTACATGCTCCGGTAGACTCCAGTCAGTTGATGTTTTTCTCTGTGGAGCAGTGTTTTAAACAGACGAGCTGCAGAGCTACCTCTGGGGGGCAAACTATGCAACACTCGTGATGTGATTCGGTTCGTGGTCAAAAGCAAAGTGTTTGGGTACTGACTTCGGGGTCATTTGGACAGTATGGAAAAAGGGAGGGAAAAAATAGAAAGGAAAAAACAGCATCTCTCACAGGACCTGGGTGTCGGGTCCCCTTTCTGTTTATATATTACTGCTCCATTTCCTCCAGCAAGCATAGATTGTAAGTAGGACACTGGAGCATGTTTCTCATTTCAAGACATATGCCCCCTGTTAGAATAAACAGCCCCTATGTGATTCTGTCTGGAAAATCTAAGATAAAATACCTGACAGGAAAAGAAAACACTCTGCATGCTGCAAGAGCATACATGTGTAATATCTAAGCAATGGGGAGGAGTTTTTCGGTAAATCGTGCAATTTTCTTCCCTTAATCAGCTGCAACATTATTTTTTCTATTCCCAGGAGCTTGGAGTTTACCCGGCAAAGTTCTGAACATTGTAACAACAAGCAGAGGAACGCCCCAGCACATTCCTCCAAGGCCACGGAGGACTTGGCCTTGCAAGCAATCTGTCTTTCCCACAGAGAAAAACAAAATGCTGAAGACTTATGCGGGTGTGCTGACAAACAAACAAATACTGAGGCAAAGACAAAAGCCAGAAAAAAGCGAACACTCCTTCGCAAAGACAAGCGCATACTTGCAGATACTAAAAACCACTGAGGGAGGAAGGACTGGGCTTGCTTACTTTTGAGGCCTTCCAATTTTTCTGCCAGGTCCTCTTCATCCCTGTATTTCTGGTCTTCCAGATATTCCTGTGAAGGAGGAAGAGGGGTGAACAAACGGGATGTCATCAGAAAAAAACCTGGTTTTTCAAGTTTGACTGAAACTGAACCCCCACCGTTAAATCAGTTTTGGTCTCATCTCTAAACTTTATGCTGAGAAACTTCTGGCTGTGTTATACAATACACGATCAAAGAGGAAAGAAGCCCACGCACACATTAGAGCGTTAAGTACATTAATCTGATTGTCTCCTGTCAACTGTGTCAAAAACGTCCAACTTGAGAATGATGACTCACAATCTCAAGATGCCCCCCCCCCGCTTCCCCCTGCGGATTGTCATTACTTATCATTGTGTTCATTAAGTGGAACACCTCACAAGGGTGTAAAAGGAAAGAGCCTGAAGGGAAGCTATTCTAATGAAATTCTAATGACGCAGTCTGCCATGTGGGAGTCAGCTTCGATCTACACGGGAAGCGTAGAGAGAGAGCAAGGGAGAGACGGAGCGTGATGTTGTTCTCCGCACTGACCTCTATGTGTCTGTCAAGCTTGTAATTAAGGGTGAAGAGGATAAACACCAACAACTGGATGTTTATCAGGGACGCCTGACTCAGTCGTGCTGAATCACCACTGCCTCCCACACACACACACACACACACACACACACTGGAATGTCCTCTCATGGTCACAGCGTATCATAAAAGTATGCGAGTATATTTAAACAAGTGTGGTGCGGTATTATAAGGCAGGAAATCTTCTCTACAATGAATGTTTTACAACACAGAGGTCAAATACAGAGTGTACTGTAAGTGTTTTTGGAGCTGCAACTAACACGTATTTAATTTTCATTATTAAACTGATAGCAAATTGTTTTGGCTTATTGTTTGGTCCATAAAATAACAAAAAACATCCATCAGAGACCGAACAGACTTCTAAAAATGTCCCCAAAACCCAAAGATACTCTCTTTAACATTAGAGAATGACTTTTACATAGATGAATTGTCTTTCAATCAAGTATTTTTTATATTTGACTAATCATATCAGTGCCAAAGTATTTATCATAGAGGAATAACCACCCTAGATATCTAGCAGTGCTAGGATTTGAAGTTCCATTCCCACATGTTAATGTAATGGAGTGGATGTCATTATACAAAAACCCTTGGATTTAATCATAATACACCTGTTATTTTTACACAGCCTCTTCGGAATTAGTGGCCATTTCCCCAATGAACAAATGCAGGACATTAAATGATGACATAAATCTCTATAAAAGGAACAGGGAGTGTTTGCAACTGTGCACTGAATTGTCGCAGGCGCTCCCGGCTGCCCTCTTGCCGCGACCTGGTTTTCATGTTGGGAGCTGATGACAGCCGGCCAAGGAGGGAAACAGAGATTAAACAGACATCTCGCTAATCTGTGGGAACCACTGCATAGTTATCTGACGAAGCGAGGCCTACTGTTAGACAAAGAGCTCATTCAGACACAGGATTCCCGTCGGCGGGGTCAGCAGTGAAGCCACTATGTGCACAAATAATAAGGAACGGCCACAAAACACGCTTCAAATGCATTTTTTATTTTTTTTAACCGGTGACCAAACAGATCGATATGATCAGGTCAGAGGGAAACGCTCACAGTCCCTCGACACCAGAGATGTGACAGCATGCAGCCGTTCAACAAGTGCCACGAGACTGCACGGGGGGGAATCAATAATATGCATCAACTGCATGGCTGTGATCATGTAGCATGTGGGAGAATGCATTGTTTACAGCTCTGCTGAGATAGTTCAGTCTAACTGCAGTGAATCCCCAGTGTGGCCGCACACGTTCAAAAACAAGGCCAATGCCAAGTCAAGTGTATGCGAGCTCATTAAATTCAAATTCCCCTGAGGTGCCGTTAGAGACGCTGATGGCAAATAAAGAAGAGAACATGCGTACCTGGTTTACTTCTTCCAGTTTTTGCCTCTGCTGCTCCTTTAACAGTCCAAAGGCTTTCCCTCCTGTAAAGAGAAAATCACATTATTTTAATAGCATGCTAGTTAATATCGAAATAGGCTTAGCTTGGTCGGTAGCACCGGGTCGGCCTGCTGATGCTCTATTGTAAAGGCTCTAGCGACAGACACAAGCAGATACCCGGGGAAATAGACAAGGCAGTGCGCTGTTGTATTATTTATTACCTTGGGTGTTTTTATTTGAAGGCATCCCGAAATGTATCTGTGATGTAGAAATCCAGAAAAATGAAAAATATCCAAGCCAGAGGGCTACCGCAACTGTTGGCCGTGGCGATACTCCTTTTCTCCGTGAGAGACTGGGTTTAGCGGGCCATTGGGCACTGGTGTCAAGACGGACGCATTTAGAAAGGGAACATCCGGTTAAAACCTTCAAAATAAACTACTTTCCCACTTTACGTGCCCTTGCTGCATGCAGAGTGTTTTGTTTTCTTTTTCTGTCAGGTATTTTTCAAGGCAGAATCAGATAGGGGCTGTTTATTCTAACAGGGGGCATATGTCTTGAAATGAGAAATATGCTCAAGTGTCCTACTTACAATGCTTGCTGGAGGAGATGGCGAAGTACCAACATGTTTTGTTATGACTTTGTGGTATGTTGATGTTAAGAAAGAGTGGATGGAGTCTAGCATGCAGTGCGTGTTTATTTATAGTATACATCAATTAAATAATATAGTCGGAAGCTCTTTCCATGCTGTGGAACATTAAATATGAAGTTGACAAAAAATGGGCTGCACCAGAACTTGATTAATCCCTCAATTAATTTTAGATGAATCAATTGATAGTTACGTGAATAAAATGTCAGAATACAAAAACAATGCTCAATTTACAGTGATAGAAAGCAGAAAAATGTCAAATACTCAGATCTGAGAAGCTGGAACCAGCAGTTATTTAGAACCTTTCCTTTATAAATGACAATTATTTGATTTTTGACTTAGACTTAGACTTAGACAACTTTAATGTCCCCAGAGAGGCAGTTTGGGGTGCGGCACAAAATATTTATCAACACAACACAAGAAAACAACACATCAACAAACAGAAACAACAATAACCTAAGATCATCTAGCCATCATGATAAAATGGTAATAAATGAATGAATCTGTCTAAATTTTACTTGAGCTATTACTCTGTAATTTGTTTTGTGGTATAGTTTGCACTGATGTAGTTTAGGTTTTATGTTTCTATTGTTCAATGTTATGTCACATGTTATATATTACAGACTAGATGTTTTTAATAAGTGCTCTCACTTCAACATGGTGTCTGTGTTTTAATGATCCATAAATAGGTACATTAAATCACAACAAATCACAATTGGATTTAATTTCCAGCTACACTGAAATATTTCTACTATAAATATCTGTCCCCCCGACCCTGTACGCAGGATAAGCAGTTGACGATGGATGGATGGATAAATATCTGTATTTATGTAGGCCTATAATGTGCTTTATGGAGTCACAACCAAATTATCTCTGTTCTAACTTAATAATATATTTGAGCACCACAGTACCAAAAATGTTTTGTATCTTTCTGCAAGATCTTTGTATTGTCAAATATAGTCATATCAATAGGTCCATCAACATTACAGATGAAATATGGATGCCACAATGTTCACAAACAAACAATACAATGCATTTTTGCTTTTTTAATGCTAAAAAAAGCTCTTATTCTGAAAGCCGAAACATCCAGTTTCCCGCTGTCATTGTGCAGCACCGCTGTTCTCATCAGTGAATGATGCTCTTGTAGTACACTGGGACGCGTCTTTCTCGCGCTTGCCATCGTGTGGCCGATAAAGAAATTGCACATAATGAGGGTGCGACTCAGACATCACCTGCAGAAATGGACAAATGGACCCAATCAACTTAACATAAGCTTATTTCAAATAAATTAATAACATTCTGGTCTGCAGAAACACATTTAAAAATAATTAAGGTAAGACACCGTAATAGTATCTTCCAACAAAGTGTGACAATTAAAATGGTCTCTTTAAGCCTGTTTGTTTCCAAGTAGGTAATTGTCTGGTGTAACACACACATAATATGCCACTACAAAACTGAAATTCATTATCTTCAGTCTAATGATTATTTCTCCATGGCTCTTAAGGTGATGTAGGCTAGTCATGGCATTTCCGCCCATGAAAGACCCACTTGGAGACAGTTTTTGGGGATTAATTTTGTTTTCTGGATGGAGGCAATTTCCAAAGCATTTTGGGATGATTTCATGTCTACACCTGTCTGTTCACAATCAAACAAATCAAACAATACAGTGCCTACAGCTGTATAGCATAAAAAACATTCCCCAATATCCTTTAACATCCAGCTTCTATGATTTTTAATATCACAAAATAGAAATGTTTGTGTTTTCATCATGATTAACCAACAGCAGTTGAACATTGAGTCCCAGAACTATATTTAAATGTCATTTACTCCAGCAAAAATAAAATGTAACAAACCATCAGTGACATGAAATAAATTAAGATGCATTATTTTGTTTTTTCTAACTGTAAAACCTTCAAAATATTTCAATTAAGGTCCCTGTTTTTAAAGAGCAAAATCATTTATGCTCTAAAGTTAATTCTAAATGAAATACAAAGAACTGAGTATTTTGAGTATTTCACGAGAGTATAGTTGAAAGCTAGTTTATTCATACCTACCATATGCTATTCATTGATTTACGCTCACAATTATGATTTACGTGTGAAGGTCAGTTTTATTATCCTTCTTTGAAATCATGTGTTATACAATAAACAAGAAACCCTTTTTGAAACATTCTTAACAAGTCATATATCATTTTAAAGTGGGTTTGAGATGATTGTTTTAAATTGCAAGTGTATCATATTTCCTACTGATCTATTAATCAGGTCACATTGTGTGACCTGATTAACTCTATTCTATTCTCCTAAGCATCAGTGATAACGGTGAGGTGAGGTGTCTGTGCAGAGCCCAAAGGACACTAAAGGACCCACCCCAGCCACAGCCTGTTCACCTTGATGCTTTTAGAAAAATAGAGATATAGAAGTTCCTGCTGTCGCACAAACAGCAGAGCAGCTTCCCCCCCCAAGCTGTCAGACTCCTAAACTCTAATTCATCCTCAGCACTGCTCCAGTGATGATAGTTTATTTCTGTTTACCATTTTTCATAAATGATTCTTTATTAATGCATGTTGTCTGCTATATAGCAGAAGGGAGTTACAAAACTTGTTATACTGTGACAATAAACCTACCTACCTATTCAGAGCTTCAGGAAAATATTTAGAAAATGCACAGTTGTTGGAAATTAAAACTCCATCCTCAATAATATAAACAGATTTCAAAGTTATTGCTTTGGAACATTTAGCTGTGAAAATATAGTCAAGTTGTGTGGTATCATTTAGGGGTAGGTTAGTTTGTCACCCTCTTGTGGTCATTTATTGCAAAATCCTATTTTTTTTTTTACTGCATCCTGACAGAGCATGAAGTTAATCTTGAAATTTGGGATCCATTTGCTTGTGCGTGTAAGTATCGCAGATGAAGATAATGTATAGTTTTTATTAGTTTTTTGGAGGGCTGTTAAATTATTCTTTCTTGTATTTATTAAGCTACTTATTAGCTAACAGGTTGTTTAAGATTGGAAGTCTGCCACAGTGTTTTACATATTTGTTTTAGTTTGTTGTTTGTTTAGATGCTACTCATGGAGATGGTTTGTCACACTGGGTTACTCTGTTTCAGTTTTACAGGATGTTTTTATATTAGTGTAATTTAATTAAAACATACTTCATTGGACTATTGGACTACAACTAGCTATTTATATTTATATTATATTTATAGTTTTAATTGCAGATTGCATGTAGTTTACTATGTTAGCATGTAATAGTTAATATTTAAAGTTGCATTAAGCAAATTTCTACCATTATCAGAAACATCACACATTAGCCTTTATAATAGGTCTAAGGAACAATTTAAATACTTGTTGTTATGGGTGCTATATAAAATATGTCGGTTGTAACATACTGTGAACTGAAACAACTTTTGATTGTGGGACAATAATCAAACAGCCTCAAGCTTCAGTGGCCTTGGTCAGGGGGCACAATCCAGTGAACCAGTAAAATATGAAGATACTGTGGCTGGGACTTTAACAAGAAGGAGCTTAATCAGGACAATTCTCAGAAACAAACACACTGTAAAAATAAACATAAAATAACACAAAAAACCCACAAGGGTACTCATTAAAAAATCTTATGCATAATAATGTATTATTATCATTAGTGGTTGAAGTAGTATTCAGATCCAATACATTAAATCATTTGCAGTACAAGTACTAGTACCACCCTGAAGATATTGCTGCAAGTAAAAGTCCTGCATTGAAAATGTCACTTAAGTAAGGATTGTATGTCACATTAGGAAAATGTGCTTTAAAGTATTCAAGGTCCTCAATTCACAAATGTCCCCTGTGACTGTTAAAATTATACTATACTATACCTATACTATTATATATCACATATCTTTAAATTATTATTACTTTAATGTAAAAGCAAGGTTTTACTCTTGTAGTTTGTTGATGTGGAGCTAATTAAAAACAAAAGATTACTTGTAAGGGATTAATCTGATTATATTGTTCTCCATTAATAGGTGGATACTAGGTGGAATGATAGGCTGGAACCATGAAATGTTTTTACATGAAAAGTGACAACAATCACCAATAGTAGTCAATTCAGAGGATTAACTGGCTAATTGCTAACTGTATCTCTATATTTTCACAGGTTTGCGTGCAAAAATCTTAAAGCTATCACATATAGAGGAGTTAAATGCACAATATTTCCCTCTGACATGTAGTGGAGTAGAAGTTGCAAGAAAAGAAAGTACCTCAATATGTTTCTCAAATTTGTACTTACCATTCCACCACTGATCATATAAGCTGTTGTCTGTCTAAATGTAATGTTTAGCTTTTTCCAGTGCCATTGATTGACCACTCCACCCTTGATGGGTCTGGCATGGAGACTCTGCACAAGCTCTTCTTTTTTTTTTTTTAGGTTTAATGGAGTTTTCCCCCCAATGGGGATCTCATTTCCAATGTCTTTAGGGGTGTCATGTTCAATAATTGTTTAATAATGTAGGAATTGTTAAAGCCTTTTAGAGTACAACTGCAGGCTATTCTGTCCTATTAGCCTTTTTCAGATGAGCTCGACTTGTCTTTGCTAATTCATAGTTTTATATGTGTTATTTTTGTTAAGGCGAAACATTGGCAAAGTCTCACCTGATTAATTAGATAGCAGTCATTTACATTTGATAATTCAGGAGTAATGTTCGACCTACACATTTAAATTCTTCAAATGCAGAGTAGTGGCTTTCTGGAAATGG